GCCCCGCGCACAAAGTTCTGGGCTTCTCACACATGTGCCAAGGCCCTGAGCCAGACGTAAGCATCCTCTCAGGCCTGTCCAGTTGCCCTAGCCAATCCAGGCACCCCTCTCTGAGATTCTGGATTCTTCAAGCGCCGAGCCTAGCCCAGCCTGACAGGGCCCTGGAAGGGGTGGCTGCCATCTCCTCCCGGTGATGATGAAATGGACCTCTCTGTGTGAGAAACCAAGCCCGACTCCCCTGGGCTTTGAGAGCCCTTGATAGAGGGCCTTGATGGGGCCAGAGGGGGCTGCAGCTTCTGCTGCTCAGTGGGACATCACAGCAGGAGCATGGGCTTAGGCACCCCCAGAAAAAGGAAGAAGGCTGGGCTCAGAGCCGAGGCCCACTTTTTGGGTGACAAAGTATGAGATTTTGATTGCTTGTGTGTGTTTAGACTCTGATCAGTATGGACCCCAGGCCAGAGAGCCGAACGCTGTGGCCTCGCCCAACCCTGCCTGCCACGCTGCTGTCCCCTGAGGAGGGCTCAGGGCCTTTTCTCGCTGGGGTGTTGGTTGCGGGCAGAGCTGTTTCCCGGTTGCTGAGTGGAGGAGAGTGCAGGCTTTCCTGGCACTCGGGGGACTCTAGCTGGCAGAGTGGTGGAGACAGACTTTTTGCTGGGCCCATGGCAGTAGGACATTTTAAACTGACTCTCCCTCCCAGAAAAGTGCTCTGTAAACCAGAACTTGAAACAGCACAGGCTGGCGGCAGGGCAGCCCCTCCTACGAGTGGGCGGCTTGTTGGGTGGGAGCCTCGGCCTCAGCAGCATGTGGCTTTGGGCAAGTCCCGTCCTCTCCCTGGGCCTCAGTTTCCTTATTTATAAATAGGGATTTAGACTAGAAGGGTTTGAGGTGTTTCCCCACAATTGGTGTTTATGACTTAGGCAGCTCAAGTTGTCAAATGGGGTGAAGCGCCCCAGACCCCTGTTGGTCATGAGGCTGCAGATCCCCTGAGCATCTTCCCAGTGGGGGCCCCGAGCCAGACTGCCCATGGGAGGGAAAGTCAGCTGCAAGCCAGTTTTGTTGGAAGCGTTCTCAGAGAATTCCCTGCCCGTGACAGCCGGCCTGAGTTCTAGCTGTCTGCAGGAGGCCCCGGTTACGTAGTGGCATAACTCGGGAGGATTCTAATGGTCAGGATTCTAATGAATGCTTCTAATGGTCACTTTCCAGGTGAGAACAGGAAAGGAAGAGCCCTGAGGCAACAGCATAAGGGGGGTTTTCATGACATGAGGTGAGGGGTAAGGTCCAGAGTATTGTGTAAGGAATATTGAAGGGTCCCCAGGGTTAGAGTTGGAGGGTGAAGTGGGTAGCCAGGCCCACCCGCTGGGCTTCGCTGGGGCCAGGCCCTCAGGACAAGCTGTGTGCGGGACGGAGAGCCTGTGGGTCCAGGCTGGACTCTTGTGGCCTACAAGGGAGGCCAGCCTTCTCTGTCCCTCCTCTCTCTTGGTTCTTGGCTTCTGGGCCAGGCAGCTGCTGGCAATCACATCCAACAGAGCCAAGGCCCAGGAGGCCAGAGCCATGATTGTTTCCACTGAAGCTCTTGGCTTCCCACAGAGCAAAGCTCAGTGTCCTGGGCCACAGCTGCACCCCCAGAAAATAGGTGGTCACCTTTGGCAACAAAACCAGGTAAGCTGGACGTTGTGACCCATTAAAGAGTCGTCCCTAAGACTTGAAAGTACTCAAAATGTATATTTTAAATTTATTTTTGGAATTGTTAAAGAAAATCACCTTATGGCCACCTTCTCAAATCTCTGTTTTAAAGGTCATTTTTTTAAAAAGGAAGGACTTCCCTAACCATCCCATCCAAATTAAGTGTTTTGTGGCTCTATTTTTTTTTAACACACATTTGTCTGGTCTTGTTATGTGCCAGATCCTGTTTTTAAGCTTTGCAAATACTAACTTATTCAATCCCACGACAACCTTGTAAGATATTCTGATTTGCTCAATTTGATAGTTATAGGGAAACCGAGGCACAGAGAGGTCAGGGCACTTGCTCGAGCTTGTACATCTGGTGAGTGGCAGGACTGGGATTTAAACTCAGGCAGTCTGGCTCAGAACCAGTGGTCTCATCACGGTTTCTGCTGGCCCCAATCCTGGCTTTGGGTGCACTCTGAGCAACTCACCCCTGTATCCATTTTGCAGAGTTGAGCACATGCGCAGATGAATGAGAAACGGGGGATCTGCCCGTCATCCAACTACCTCTGTTAGGGAAATGACAGGCCAGCCAAGAAACAAGCACCACTCGCAGGGTTGGATTACTCAGATTTATTACACCAGCGGGCTCAGAGGGGCTTCTGCTCCGAAGCTCTGAGCACCTCCAAGACGTGTGCATGAGGTTTTATAGGGTTAATTACAAGCTTGGGGTATTCGGCCAATAGGCATGGAACAGCTTTAGTAGCATCCTTATCACAAAAGCAGAGGCAGGGAGGCAGCAGACCGACATTCCAAGGCCAGATATGCCTCTCTGAAAATTTAGCTGGCTAGCAAAAAAAACATGAGTGGGGAATCAGCAAACCGACGCTTATTAACTTAGATTTATGACTTAGCCCAGTAGAACTCAGATCAGTAATTCGACACTGGTTACACTTGGATTTACAAGTTAGGCCCAGCCTGGCTTTTCCATCAAACCTCAGCACAGTAATTATGATACTAGCTTGGAGCTCTCCAGACTGGGCTGGGAACTGCTCCTGCCAGTGCTGTCATCGTCTCATGAGGGCAGAAGAGCTGGCTGTGCCAACACACCTGGGGCGAGCGGTGGGCGAGGTGCCTCACCCCAGTACCTGGTTCCTGGTCAGCCTCCGCCCGGCTCTCTGTCTTGATCTTGACCTTCCTTGCTACTCCCCTGCTGTTTCTGAGCCTCCTGATCGCTGTCTGCCTCTCTCATTCACTTCCCTTTGTTCCCATCTGGGCCTCCAGACCCTCTCCAAAGCCACTGGGGTTTGACGACATAAAATAGGAGTTTTATTTTATGATCACTCGCAGGCAGTGTAAAACAAACATTTGCACAGCTGGCAGAAAGTGTCGGCAGGTGGTTATTTGAGATCTTCAAAAGCAGGATAAAGTTGCGTTATCTTCACCTGGTGGATTCAGAAGCTGCTGGAATCCTGAGATCCTGCCGATCCCTACACTGGCTGCCCCTTTGCAGTGGTGGTGCCACTGCTCCCCGCCCCAGGTTTTCATTGGTCCCAAATGCAAGCAGTGTTTGCTATGAAATCATGACTACAAAATGAATCCCTACTCCCTTGTCCATCCGCTGTGCGTAAGCCCCTTGCCCCCTCCCACACGTACCAACTCCGGGGCCTCCGGGGCTCTTGAGGAGGTCCTTCTCGTCTCTCAGTTTTGCTAATCATTGTCCCTTGAGCCTTGATCACAAGTGGGGCTGGAAGGCTCAGTCTGCTCATTCATGCTTTTCGCTCATTCACCGATGCTTTGAGGGTCCAGGCACAAGTTGACAGTTGTCTAACGCACACTGGCTAACAATACAAAGCAGTAGAGGGGACCCATGAGGTGGAGTCCCTGTGTTCAGGAATTTCAGAGGCCAGCTGGAGAAACGATCTGTATGGAAGAAAAGTTAAGTGGCAGTGCAGGGGTTAACCGACACTCCCTTGGCAGCAACATCTATAAGAGGTGGGTGTGATGTGTTTCAAAGGCAAACAGGACAAGTGTCAAGAACTGAGTCCATAGGCAGGATTGGAGAAGGAAGTTAGGCTCTGTGGAAGGGTGAATTTGCCCTGGGCCTGGAGGATGAGTAGGGGATGGATAGCTGGCGAGTTGTGGGAGGGCATTTCAGGCAGGGGACCAGCTTGGGGCAGGGCCAGCAGAACTAGAAGGACAGCCTGGGATTCTGTGATGAATGGGCTTGGCGGCAGGTCTGACTAATGCACCTAGGGCCGGTGGTGAGTGTGATGATGAATGTCAGGGATGCTCACAAACTCAAAGAAAAAGAAAAAAAAGCCTGGAGACCCAGTTGTAGTACACAGTACACGAACTGACATGGGAGAAAACCACACATGAGGCCGTTCTAAGACACACTCAGTAAGAGGTGGTTCACGAGGGATCAGCTGCAGGTGGCCATCCTGGGGCACTCCCTGGCCACAGCGGGATGCAGTCTGGACACACAGCATCTTCAGGTGCCAGGGTCCCCTGGGTAGGAGACTCCAGGCCTCACCTGTGCTGGGCCAGCTGCAGAGCCCTTCCAGTCTCTGGTCCTGTGCTGAAGTGACCTGGCCTTGGTTTCAGAGAGTTCAAGGGTAGTGGAATAGGCTGGGCGAGGCGTATGTCCCCTTTCATAGCCCCCTGGAACAGTCTCTCCCATAGCCTATTGGTCCTGACAGAGCCCTGACCACCTCGGTAGCCCAGAGATGAGTGTGGTCTTCTTTAAGCAGTGACCTAATTTTCGGGGCTCCTCTGTCATCCAATGGGTTGGGTTCCAACGGGTTCTAAGAACAGCTTTCTAGCCCAGCCCGAACCCTGCCAGTCCAGTAACAGCACAACACCAGGCATGTAATGAGCATCCGTAAATCTTTGCTGCTGGAATCCCTGTTCCTCACACCACTGATGGCTGACAGCCTCCCGGATCCCAGCCCAGGCAGCTTCATTCTCTTCTCCACCCTCCAAGCCTCCACAGAGGCCACAGCTGCGCCTTCTCCTCACTTCCTGATGTGGGGGAGGCACCTCCGTTGGTGTTCTCATTGCGGGTGTACCATCCACAGGCACCTCCTGTCCTGCTCTCCCCACTCAGTCTCTGGAACCTGGCCTCCTGGGCCTCCCACCTTGCTGGCTGGCCCGCACGGTGGCTCCTTGGGAAGAAGAACTATCAATCACGAGTGGAAAGCTGAGGTGAGGACCTAACTAGGGGAGAACTTGGCCAGGCCAGCCTGGAAGAGAAAGCTGTCTGAAATACAGTTTAATGTCTGTCTCTGTATACATATGTATGTACATCTAAGTTGATCTATGAGGCATCTTTGTATGAATGTACAGCTGTATGTTCGTATATTGGTTGAAAGGACTTTTTCCAACCATCCTGTTGACTGTTGTCCATGTCAGCATGCCTTGGGCTGTAGAGTCCTGGGGTTTAGGAATCAGATCTGGGAAGGGGGGGTGATGAGCAGCCCCAAGAAGGTGAGATTCCTTAGCACCAGAGGCCTTCCCGGGGAGGCAGGGTGATGATTTAGGGTGGTTTAGGGCATGGCAGCATCACATGAGAACTGGAGCTGGGTGACCATGGAGGTCCCTTTAATTCCGATGAATCTGATTCCAGACCACTTTGCATAGCAACTGAGACATAATTAAGCGGTTGTTGATGCATTTTGAAAGTTGATGTTTTGGGCATTATGTGGCGTAACTGCTCATTATTATGGCCTCTGGTCACGGGGATCTGGGTTTGAAGCCCTGCTGCATACCTTGATAAACCTATGCTCTCCTGGGCACATCTCCTAACCTTTCTGTGCCTCAGTTTCCTCATCTATAAAATGAGAGTAACAATAGAGCCTGTTAAAGGTTGTAGTGAGAATGGAGGAGAGAGAGCATAAGAAGCTCTTCGTGGGTGACACACACACAGTAAGTGCTCCGTCCCTTGTTGGCCATTGTTGTTAAGATCGACCTTGTGGCTCTGGTTGGAGGCCCCTGTCTGGAACACTCGGGTCCTCTGATGACCCATCTGGCCCTATAAGGTCAGTTTCAACTGTCTCCCCAGCTCCCAGCCTTGATCCTGACCCATACCTCCCCTACCCGTGTAACTCCATCCCATAGTCAGTCCAGTGGGACATCAGGGCAACCCTGGCCAGAACACCCCCACTCTGATAGCTTTGACCTGGCCCAGAGTCTATCTAGCTGGGCCCCTGGAAGAGATAGAGCATCCAGTTCCAAACTCTGAGGCGCCATTGCTTCGTGCTCGGGCCAGGGACACTCATTTATTCCCTAAACGAATCAGAGTCCGAGATTTGTCCACATGCTGCCAATCCAGGGAGGATGAGGATTCTGCCTGGCAGTGGCTCAGCTGCCTGCCTTTGGGTTGTGCAAATGACACTTATGCAAACAAAGCAGCCATTTCGGCTCCTACTCCCTTTAGGGTTCCTTCCTGAAATAAAGGACGAGGCTTACTCTTCAGAGTGCTTCAGGTGTGAGCCCATGGCAAGGTGCCCTGTCTGTCCTCTCCTCCCTGAGGTCCCACGTTTGGTCTCCTGTCCACACAGCAAGCAGCTGGAGGATTCTCCTTAAACCATCCCAACTGCCTGCCCTGGGGCATGGGTGGGAAGCTTGGAAATTGAAGTCTGAGGACTTAGAAGGCATCATTAGGTCCAACCCCACTATTGCAAAGATAACACTGAGGGCCAGAGAGAAGAAGAAAGTGCCAATCTTAACGCTGATTGAGGAGGATGTGCTACCCTGCGATGACTCTACCCCCAGAAAAAAATCACTACAGAGTGGTCTCAATTGTCATCAGTTTTGCCTTTTTTCTATGAGAATTTTCTTTTTTGAGAGGGCTGGAGATCTCCATGCAGGGCTCTTCCTAGAAAGGGTGTTTTACTTAGATTTGACCTTTACTAGGAGGGGACAGCGTGGCAGCCCCATGCTGCGGCACCTCTGCTCTGGGACCTGGGAAGATAGAGCCCTGAGCAGCTTCATCCGTCTCTGGGGAGGGGTCCGCGTGGGAGAGGATGGTGAGTAGGGGATGAAGGGAGGAGGGGGAGGCTGGGCCTTCTGGCTGCCTTTAAGAGGCCTCCTGCCCTCCCCGGCCTCATAAATCTGGAAACTGTGAGATCCTGAGATGCTGACTCAGTAAGGGTTGGAGGCCCATTTGCATGGTGTTTCTAAGGTGATGTAGCTGCGTGCAGCTTGATGTGGTAAGAAAAGCACTTGTTTCTGAAACATGCTTCCCAGAGCTCTCCTTCCGATGACACCAGTCCTGGCTTAAGCACGGACTGTAAAACATTTAATAATCCTCTTACTACGTTCCTCACACTGAGCCCCTGGAGCTCAAAGTTGGAGCCCGTCATAGTCCCTTGGAAGACTGGGCCTGCGGCTTCCCGGTAGGTGGATGTTTAGAGGGCGTCACCCAAAGGTAAGCCCATGGACGCTCCTAGCCTGGTCAGAGAAGCCCCCAAAGCAACCCAAGGTGCTGTGCCTGCTTGCGTGACCTGTTGTCTAGCTCCAAACAGCTAGCATTACCTGTTCTAAGCATCTGGCATTACCTGCCTGCTTAGTCACCTTGCCTCTGGCTTCCAACAGCTGTAAGGCCCCACCCTCTCCCCGCCTCCTTCCATTTGGGGTCCCTCCCTCTCCTTTTTTTTCTTGTAAGGATCTGGAGGCACCAGATCCACAAGTTCTGACGTCTTTAAAAGCATCAGCCCGAGCAATAAGGCTCATTTGGGAGCTGTGACAGTCACCTGGAGTCTGGTGAAAGTCCAACAGCCAACCCCTTTCAGCCTCCAACTGGACACCATGAGGGCCTGCGTACCCCTGCTAGTGGCCATGCTCTGTGGCCTGGCCTGGGCTGGTAAGTTGCTACTGGTGGGGATGACAGGGCCCCACATGAAGAAGCAGACAGTTGGGGGACTTGGTAGAGGGGGATGGTAGGAAGACAAGAGAGGGCCAGCTCTGTCCAAAAGCCACGGACCCCTTCGACCTGGCCTGGTCTGGGGCAGGAGTTGCCTCTGGAGTGGACTGGGTCGTGTAAAGGGAGCTGCAAGGCTGATGGAATGATGCCCTGCAAGCCCTGTCTTGACACCTTGGAAGGTGAGCCCTGAGCATCACTTAGCCGAACCTGACTTTTGATCTCACTGAGGTTTTGCTTTCTGGGGCTGCTGCTGGGCTGTGGGTTTGAACGGCTTGGCTGCCTGGGTCACTCCCTCCATGGTGAGTTGTCTGGGGTGAGACCTTTCTCTGGGTAAAGCCTTAGGAGGTGGGCAGGCTCAGGGGGAAATGCGAAGAGCCCTGACCAGGAGGGAGGCCACGTGCTATCTGGGGCTGTACAAGTAAGTGGTCAGAGGAACTGGTCTTGTCTCACGTTAGAGGAACGAAAGCAGAGAAGGACCCAGGTACTAGCGGTGCAGAGGGTGGGACCTGTGGCTGAGGACAGGAGCACTTTCCTGTTTAACAGCTGGCTAGTGTTCACGCTGATGTGGTAATTGGTAGTTAGTAGGTGAGTGGGAAGTGTACTAAGAGAGGGGGCTGAGCTGAGGGGTGGGGAGAATCCTCCTCTGCCCAGAGGAGAAAGAATCCGAGGTTGAAGCCCATCCCACTCCCACCACGTCTTTCCTACATAGGACTGGTGTAAGCATTAAATAAGGAAGTGTATAAGAGGCACCCTACATGGCGTGGGACCTCAAGGAATTGGGTCTTTGATTATGATTTTGAATATAAACATAAATAAATATTAAATAATTTATATTTACTTATAAATAAGTTACATAAAGGTATTATTTAGATAAAATATATTTATATAACAAATAATTTAGAAATAATATGTATAATTTATATTTATATAATATACAAATATTCTTATATTTATATATAATTAATAATAAATATTGATTATAATATATGATTAATACTTATTTATATAAAATAACTTATATAAATACAAAGTTTACTCTCGGAATCATTTCCAGTCAGGTTGTGGATAAGGAGACCCTAACGGGATTCCTGAATGGAGACCCTCTAGAGGGGAAAGCTGTTCCCAGGCCTCCCATGCTGGGATCCCTCCACTCTGACACCCACGGCAGAGCAGCCAGGAATCAGCTGTCTGGGCTCTGGGTGGTGGAGAGTGAGGAAGGGCGCGAGAGCGTCTAGCTCAGTGAGGAGTGGCTGTGGGGTGGGGGTGCCCCAGTCTCTGGAGAGGAGAGCTACTGGAGACATTGGTCCCTGGGAGACATTCCTGAGGGCTGAGGCAACAGTGGCTTCAGAAGTGCAGGTGGAGCCCTTGCCCCTGCGGTGGTGGGTCCTGCTGTGGGACTGACGGGGAGGTGAGGGTCTCCTGGGTGGTGGAAGGGTAGAGGCTTTGCTCTTGTCTCTGTTATTCCAGCATCTCTGTGCTTAGATGCAAAAATATGAAATGTACTGGAGAATCATTGCCAGCCTCGGGTCCTTTGTTGTTTCAAGTGAACTGAGGCAGGAAGCTGGTCCTGGAAATAAATCTTGGTTGACCAGATCTCCAAGGAAACAGTATCTGGGGGACCCAGAGAAGCACAGATGTAGGATCCTCCAACCACCTGAGGGGCTGAGCGCCGGCATATAGGGACACCCAGGCTTGGAACCAGGCCTTCTTGGTGGGCAATGCAGACAGGGAGTGGTGCTCTGGCATACTGAAGTCTTAGAATGTGCAGAGGAATTTAGCATTTTGTGAGGGAGTGGGAGGCTGCAGAGGGTGATAAGCTCTTTACCAGGGATGAATCTGTGTCTTGGAGAAGAAAGGCCAAAATGACTAAAGGTAGAAAGAGAGAGTCAGAGAGATGGGGCAGAGGGACAAAAGGTGGAGGGTTCCTGGAGCAGTGATTCAGATGCCTGGCTGTTGCTCCAGTGTTTGTGTGAATGGGAGGTGATGGGTGGGAGCGCTGGAGTGAGTAGTCAGGGCGACTAGGCAGCTGAGTGTCCCCAGAACAGCACGGGGAAGTGCCTGCAAGGAAAAGTCCCTCTCGCTCCTCCCCTTCCCCTTCAAATCCCAAAGTCCTCTTGAGGCTGATCAGATTTAGAGAGGTGTGAAGCATCCCAGCTTCGGGGTTCTTACTGAGGACAGAGTTCTTGAACAGAGATGAAAAAGTCCACTCAGGCAGGGCCGGTGGGGGTGTCCTCCTGACGCTACAGAGCTCACTATTCACTTGCAGCCTTTCTCAAGCAATGCCAGCTGCTGGAATGGAGTGAATTCCTTCCTTGGACTCTGCTGATCCATTACCAACGTTGCCCTGATTTCTCTCAATTCTCTCCCTTTGGATTCTGGGTGTACTGCCAGGCTGACTGAGCGGGCAGCTCACAGAGCCTTCCTTCTGGGCTGAAAACTTCTTAAGATCTTTGCCTTGGGGTTCCAAGGGAGCATCATTTAAGATGCAGGAGGAGTTTCTCTGGGCTGGAAGGGACAAGTGGCCTTGGGTCTGGTCTTTTTTAGGGACAGCCCACTGGATCTGCCTTCCTTGCCACACTGGAGGCGTTTTACACAACGCGAAGTTGCCCCAGAACCTGGATTAATCCTGACTTGACACTTCTCTGATGTAAAGAACACAGACCCATAGAGATGGTGTCAGCCAGGAAGCTATCAGCAACATAAATGTGCTGACACCCCAGCCCAAGGGATGGCTCAGATGAAACCAGGGAAGGAGTCAGCTAGATTAAGTATGTTGGCAGGAAAGACTGCTCCAGCCAGTCTGGGCACTTGCCATCTTGAAGATGGGCAGGAATATTGCCACCGTTTATTTCTCCAACACTTACATGGTGTTACTATGTATCATGCACTCTACTAAGTGCTTTATAAACATTAACTCATTTAATTCTTATGACTAGTCCATGAGATGGGTTCCATCATTATCCCACTTTTACAGATAAGGAAACTGAGGCACAGAAGGACAAATAACTTGCTCAAGATCACATGGCCAGGAAGCAGCAGAACCAGATTTCCAGCCTCAAGCATTTTGGTGCCAGAGTCCAAGCCCCTGGCCTCTCTGCTATGCCTCCTTCTGCACAGTATAAACCCTAATCCCAGAATCCAAACTTGTAACTAAACCCACATCCCTAACACCCACTTCCACCCCGATCCAGGCTAAATCATAATGCTGTTACCTCTGTGTAATCACAACCAGAACCAAACCCCAAATCTAATCAAAGGCAAAATTGTGATTTTTTTTCTCCTTTCCTAGTCCTGACATGTTTCTCAACCCTGAATGTCGTTTTAAATCTATTCCCCATTCCTCACCCAAACAGCAACACAAAATTGTTACTTTCTCAGTAATTAATTCAAGCCCAAATCCTAACTGGAGCTCTTAATCTAAACCTAACTAACCCCAACTCTGGCCAAAATTAGGTTTCAGATTCTTCGTTCACACAAATGCCAGTGTTAACTGTAAGTCTGACTCTGATCTTGACATTCTCCGTAACCCACGGCCTGACCCAGGACCCACTACTTCCAAACCCCAGGGGCCTCAGATACAAACAAAGAGTCAGTTATCACCCTTTCAGCCCAGAGTGGAAGGAAAGGGCACCCAGCCAGCTGTTGTCCTGGCTTGCCTTCTCCACTGTCTTTGCTGTGGTGGGCCTGTTTTTTTTAGGAGTGATGGTGGGTTTGTACCATTTCTTTCAAAATTTGTTGTTATATGCCCCTTGCGCCAAAAGCTTGTTTCTGCAAGCCATTTGGCTGGAGTGAGGGATGTGGTCTGTGGTTGCATAACAGATCCTATTCCAAAGCCCAGTTCTCACCCACACCCACCTCATTCCCCATCCTGAGCTAAACTCATCCAAATGCATGCCCAGGACTAGAAGAAACAGAAAGATGGGACACAGTGGGAAAGGGGGTGCAGAGGAGAGCAAACGAAGGGGAGGGAAGAACAAAGAAGCAGAAGACGTAAAAGGGACAGGATGAGAGGCAGAGGACGGGACAGAGGAAGAGGGCAGGTGGGACCACTTGAGTGACAGTGACTCACCATCCTCTACAGGATAGGTGAATGGTGGCCTGTGGACCACACCTGGCCCACAGACCCCTCTCTTTGTTCTGTCCAAATATTTAAAAATTTGAAAAGTTTTACATAAAAATTAAGGCTTCTCTTGAAAAACTGGAGGCTCTGGCCACACAGCCTGCATCCCAATGTGGTAACAATTGACTGGAGCTGACAGCCGCTACCAACTTCAGGCAGGGCATGGTTCTCAAGTTGGTCCCAGTTCCCACCTCTTTCTACTGCCTCCCTGCTTCTTGACTCGTGTGTGTTACAGGTCTAGCCCCAGTAGCTTGTGACCCTGGTCTATATCATGAGCCTTGCAATAGTCAGTGGGTGGGGGTGGTGGGCAGTGGGGGTGAGGCTCATGTCGTGCATGGGAGGCTGTGCACGTACAGCTCCCTGGCAGCTGGCAATGACCTTCCCTGCCAGGTGGGGCCCCTGCTGGGAACCCTCCCGCAGAGGGTACTGTGATGAGGAGAGTAGGATCCGCACAGAGCTGAATCTGTGACCTTTACTGCCCACAGACAGAACGGAATCATGCGCATCTCGCTGTTATGAGAAATTTGACAGGGACGCTGCCTGCCAGTGTGACCGCCGGTGTCCCCAGCACGGGGACTGCTGTGAAGACTATGAGTACCTGTGTATCGGTGAGGCTTCTTTTGGGTGAAGGGTTTGGGAGGCATGGCAGGTAGGTCATGATCACAGCCAGCCTGCCTGAGGGGCTGCTGGCCAGGGTGTCCAGCTGTCCAGAGCAGGGTCCCAGACTGATGGCAGGGCTCCAAGGGCCTGAACGAGGACGCTGACAGGCAGAGCCACTTTGGCCGCCACTTTGTCCCAGGTATTCTCTGATGTCTCCAATGTCAAACCTCAACTTAAAATAGACGTCATTTCCCTGGAATATCTGTCTAGGAACTATCAGGATGAGTAATATCTTGAAAGTTTAAGTCATCCCCCAAAAAGCAAAAAAGAAGAAAATATTATTTGAGCATATATTATATTACCAATTATTATTTGCCGAAGTATAAAAATGGCAGTGAACTTTCCCAACTTGAGTGCCACCAGGGAGCCTGCAAAGGGTCACAGTGACCATCACAATTCGCACCACACTTCCTAGGGTGTGTGGACCAACCTGTCATTCCAAGGCCAGCGATCAAATGGGACATGCACCACCCTGGAAAGTCAGTTGTCCCTCTGTTACTCCAACCACACAGTTTTAAATGAATCATTTGAAAAACTCATTTGGAATAATTTCCTTGTTTAAAGGCTTCCAAAGTTTTAGACTTCCAGATAGATGGTCTTCTGCTTTGTGACACAAAGCCTTGCCAAGTTCCCTGTCAAACTGTGTGCCTTGACTCCCAGTTTGGAAAACATAGTCACTGAAGCCATGGTGGACGACAGCCAGCAAGACCACTACACACAGTTGTACAGGCTGTGCACTGCACAAAGGCCCCAGACTGAGAAGGCAAGTTAGACCAAAGTTGAATCTGTACCCTTCTCACTAAGCCATGTGTCTTGGTGAAGAGAAAGGAATACCTTTTCCTAATTTGCCCACGTGGTCCCTGCTGACCCAGTCACATGCCCCCAGAAGAAACACTGATTCAATTTACACAAAACTACCATTCATACTAGCAGAAGTTCTGCTGATCAGGTCGGGGCAGGGAAACTCAGGCCCAGAACTCAGTGCCAGAATCAGAGCCCACTGCTCTTCTGCTACCCTCTGCCCCATTCAGCAGACATAGGAAGGCCTGTTCACCTGGGCTCATCAGGCTGGCATTTCCGGATAGAGCTGATATTCAGTCTAGAAGCCGTTTCATCACTAATCTCTGATTTGCAACTCAGCATTCTTTTCCTATAGGAAAAATATTGTAAATGATGGTTGAGACTCTAGATCAGTTCACAAAGGTCTATGTAGTGTCAAATGCAGCTGAGTTAAGAACTCTGTGGATTGTTAGCAGTTAGAACACAGGCTGGCAGAAAGCAAGTGACCAGAGGATGTTTGTTGACTGAATATATAACCTGCCCCATGGTTCCGATGGTGATAACATGATGCTATCCAGTGAACCCACTGACAGATGCTGACGCACTTTGTGATGGCGTTGTTTCTTTGTGAGAATTCGTTCTGCTCTGTGATGAGAAAGGAGCTGAGAGTCCCCAGGAGCGTTTCTTCCTCTCACTCCCTACCCTCACTGCGCCCTTCTCCCCCCTCCCCCCGTCCCCTCCCCCGAGATGAGGCTGCAGTCACTCAGCACGCAGGCAAGGGAATGGGGCAGCAACAGGAATGTGATTTTCTGAACACGCCTTCCACCCAAACACAGCCTCTGTGGCCACGGCCAAGTATAATTGTGAAGAAAGTAGGGCAGTTGGTATCTCAGGAAACAGTTCTATTCCACGAGGCCTGGGAGGAATTCACCCTTGACTCTGGGAGTCACTGTAGGTGAGGGACGTTCCTAAGAGAGGGCCTTGTCGTTTGGAGCCAGTCACATCTACCCATCTATAGGTTTGCATTCAAGAAAAGTCATGCCAACCCCAGAGGGCCCACCTCCTGCCCCTTCCCTTTTTATGGGTAAGCACGCCGAGTATCAGAAGGGTGAACGGCGAAGGAAGCTCATCCCCAGGGATGTGCTTTCACTTTTTAGAACAGTTTTCAATCTCCCTCTGCCTCACATTTTCAGATTTTCCTCCTCCTACACCTAGTTCACGGTACCCTCACCCTGTTCCCACTGCACATGCTTGTCCCTGAGGCTGGCAGGGCTGACAACCAGAGACAAAGCGGAGGGACCCCTCGGGGATGTTTGGTGACTTGACTTCTCTGATCTGCAGCTGAAGAGGACTCTGAAGAGCCAGAGCGATTCTTGGAGCTGGAGGAAGAGACGGAGGGGGCCCCCACGGGCAGTGAGTCGGCCTCCCCAAAGGGGAACCATTCGGCTGTGGGACTTGAGAGGGTGACAAGGAGGGGGCAGCCATGCTAGTGGCCACAGGCCCAGGCCTAGGCCAGATGAGCCCCAAATCCAGCACCTGGAGGTGGTCAAGAGGGGCTCGCTGGACTCTTAAGGCCTGGGTGGGAGGCAGCCCAAAGGCCTCTGCAGCCTGGGGAACAGGCAGGAAAGACAGCCGAGAGGTAGAGGGAAGTGGAAGAGATTTTATTTTTAGAGTAAGGAGATTATAAAAACAACAGGCCAGAAAGTAGAGTTCGGCACCAGAAAGGACTTCCTGACCATGAAGGGTGTGCACCGATAAAGCTTGTTTGTTTTCCTCCCCTGGAGTTCTTTAATAGGAAGAGTCAGGAGAGCAAGGCTGATGGGGGGAGGTGGGGGGAACTCGCCCCGACGGAGCGACCCCTAGCGGTCTGCCCAGGACACACCTCCTCCCTGTCCCCGCAGACTTGTACTCGGCACCCAACTCCTGCCAGGGCCGCTGCCAGGAGCCCTTCCACAAGCACCACCCGTGCCACTGCAATGCTCGCTGCCAAGAGTTTGGGAACTGCTGCGAGGACTTCGAGAGCCTGTGTGGCCATGGTCAGTCTCCTGCTCTTGTCGCTCCAGAGGCTGGGGAACTCTCTAGAGCAATAATTTCCTAAGTGTGGTCCCTGGACCAGCCACATCAGCATCATCTTGGAATTTGTTAGACATGGGAAATCTAGGGCTCACCCCGGACCCAATGACTCAGAAATCATGGGGGTGGGGACCCCTATTCTGCTTTAACAACCCCTCCAGGCGATGGGAGAACTTCCCTAGAGGCAGAGGGCCGTGTGGATATTTTGTGGACATTCTGTGGGCAAGGCCATGTGCTGATTCCTAAGGATCATTTAGGCCAGGCCCCTGCCATGCAATCACTAGGGTGCCTGACTGTCGCCTCTCTCCCCCGCTGCCGGATCCTGGAAGGTGCCCAGGAGGGGATGCACACAGACAGCTGCCTGTCTCCTGGCCTCCTTCGGGCTCTGAGATACCCCCACCCCAATTCCTCCCAGAGGGCTTCTCCCGCAGCAGTGACGCCATAACCAAGGAGGAGCTGCAGGGCGTCTCTGAGAAGATCTACAGGGCAGATACCAACAAAGCCCAGAAGGGAGACATCGTTCTCAACAGCCAGAAATGTGTCTCGCCCTCAGAGACCAGAGACCAAGTGGACTGCTCCCCAGAGCCGTGAGTTCCCTTCCCGCCTCTTCCTGCAAAGTCTCTCCCCGAGCTCTGCTTCTTTTGGGGCCCCAATTCTTTTCTCCTCCAGGCAGGCAGGATCAAAGGGAGAGGGGAAAATAGGTCTCCAGAGATAGATAAAGCCGTCTTGAGGGACGGTGGGATCCTTGTGGGAGGGCTTCTGGGAGTGGCTGGACTGAGACTAGGACGTACTTCCAAGAGATGACATGGCAGCAAAGAGTGACCTCATGCATTGTCCCCAAAAGTCTCTGAAGTGCCCACACTTCCTCTGAACCCAACCCTCGCGTGCCGGCCCCTGCGTCTGGAAGTTCCTGGAGGGGTTTCTGCCGCACGTTCAGGCCCTTCACTGGCCTCCCTCCGCCTCCCCCAGGCTCTTCACATATGTCAACGAGAAGCTCTTCTCCAAGCCGACCTACGCAGCCTTCATCAACCTCCTCAACAACTACCAGCGGGACACGGGCCGCGGGGAGCACTTCACAGCCCAGCAGCTGGCCGAGCAGGACACCTTCCTCAGAGAGGTCATGAAGACGGCCGTCATGAAGGAGCTGTACGCCTTTCTCCATCAGCAGAGTGAGTGAGGCAGTGAGGCCTCCTCCCCCAGGCCCCGTGAGGAGGCAGTGCTGACTCGGACTCGGGTCTGCCTCAGGGGGCCTGGAACCTCCGGGGGCTCCACGGTGGGCAGGTTAAGACAGCAGGTGGGGACCACGTGGAGGCCAGTGTACCTCTGGGAGGGAGCGGGAGGGGGCCAGAGAGGAGCCCAGAAGAGACCATGGACCCAAGCAGGAGCTGAACAGCTTCCAAACCTCTGTCTGGTTTAGAAGTCACCCCATCTCTTTGACCTAATCTTAGCTGCCTCTTTTACTCCCCAACTCGCTGCTTCGGTCTCAGGGTTCTCTGCAGGCCGTGAGTCACCCCACTGCTCCCCAGGAACTTCTCCGTCACCTCAGGCGATCCCAGAGTCAGCACCACTTTCCAGGCACAGAGTCCCTGATTCTGCCCCTTCCTCGGGTACTAAGTCCAGAAAGGAGGCGGGGCACACTCCACATTTTTGCTGGGGAAACAGCAACAGAAAATCAACAGAGGTTCATTGGGGGAAGTTCTACCGGGAAGGGTTCTGCTTGGAGTTGACTCCAGATAGAGATCGTTTGAATCAGACCAAAAAAGGTTGGGGCCGCAGGACTTCTTGGCATGGGGTGTGTTTGTTAGTGTCCTCCAGATTCCTTTCCTGAACTCCAGGCAGCTGGGCCTTGGCTCGGGAGCGGCTCCGGCCAGGTCTTTCCTTGCTGGCCGTGGGATGGCGGCATTCCATCCTTGGGCGGCCCCGGTAAGAGTCTGTAGCATTGTTTTTAGGTAAAGCCAGGGACACACAAGCAATCCCTATAAAGAGGATGCAATCCTGTACCGCCCCCTGGTGTTCTCTTTGTAGTAAGCACACAAGAGGATCTTGGAGGCGGAGACTGAGCCCCAGTCCAGGCTGTCCACTACCCACCCAGCCTACACCACTCTCCCTGTCCACATCCCCCTTATTCTTAAAGTTTGAGCTCACATCCCACCGCATTTATGAAACAGCCGCAGCTCACGGCTGGCTTTCAGCGCCTCTTCAGAGGTCAAGCTTTTGGGGTCTGGCCCCAAATAGCCTTGGGCCAGAGAGACTTCCTTTCACTTGTTAATGGTGCACGTGACTCTGGGCCACTAGCCCCTCAGACCCTGTCAGAGCCTTATCTTTGAAATGGCATCTTGGGGGAATCAATGCATGTAAAACATTCAGTGGAAAGTCAGCACCGGGTAAGTGGGAGCCATTCAGACTGTGAAACTGCTGTTATTTCGTGTATTTTTAGTCTTGTTTTCCAGTTGTGTTGTTATTTTTTTAATTTGCATTCTTTTTTATTGACGTATAGTCAGTTTCTGGTGTACAGCATAATGTTTCAGTCATACATACAGATACGTATATCTAGTTGTGTTTTAAATCCTTGAAAGAAGGAAAAAGGTCCAGTATCTCTTTTGTTCTGGGCAGTAAACCGGTGATATTTGCTGGTTCCCTAATTCAGATCCCCAGCCCCAACCTTTCCCTTGGGTCCCAACGGCCTCTCCGACACCTCCACCTGGCTATCCATCTCGTCTCTACTCAGAACTTAGTGCAAAGAGAACTCACGGTTCCCGACTTTTCCTCCAGACCTGTTCCTTCTTTGGTCTTCCTCATCTCATAAACGACCCCATCATTCACCCAGTTGCTCAGGCCAAAAGCCCAGGAGTCATACTAGATTCCTTATCTCATTGCTCCCCACCCCCTGTTCCTCTACCAGGACCATCCATCACTTCCATCTTCAAAATCTATCTGCGATCTGCCCACGTGTCCCCCTCCTCTGTGGCCGCCGCTGCAGTCCAGGCTACCACTGCCGACGTGGACAGAGCGTTAGCCTCAAAACTGGTCTCTCTGCTTCTGTTCATACACCTCACTGGCCTCTTTACGTACACAACCAGGATGGTTCCTTAAAAACAAAGCTCCTGTCACATAATTCCCCTGTTTAAAACCCTTCAGTGGCTCTCCCACCACCAAGAAGCTGTAGTTAAGAGATCAGTCTCCGGAGCCAGACTGTACGGGCCCGAGTGCTGTGTCTACCTCTTATGAAGGGTGTAATTACGCATGAGTTCTAGAACCTTTGTCTGCCTCAGTTTCCTCATCTCTAAACTGGGGGTAGTTAGTACCAACCTGCTGTGAAAACTCAGTGTGAGGACTGGAAGCACTTAAAATGGCGCTGGGCACATAAAATGTACTCATATATTTTTGTTATTATCACTGTTTGGCTGGGGTGGGTGGCTCGCGTGACCCGGCCGCTGCCTGCTTCTTGGTCCTCCTCTCCTACCGCTGTCCCCTCCTGCTCACTGTGTGTCTTATGGGCTCTCAGCTCTTTGAACACCTAGCCGAAGGTGTCCTGGAGCCTCTGCACTTGCTGTTCCTTCTACGTGTTAGAATCTTTCCCCCTCGATCTTTGTGTGGATGACTCATCCTCCGGGTCTCTGATTAGTGCTACCTTCTCAGAAGGGCCTTTCTCATCTGCCTTTCTAGAAGAGCCCCCACGCTGACCCCACCCCCAGCCATCATGGGACAATCTGCTTTATTTTCTTCATAGCACTTGTCTGAAATCATACTGTTTATTATTTGTCTCCTTCACTGGAATATAAACTATAAAGACAAGGATCTTGTCCTTGGGATTCCCTGAACTCTCAGCCTTTAGATCTGGGCCTGGCCCAAAACAGGTGCCCCGCAGATAACTGTTGAACGAACATTTGTTGGTTGAACCCACATGTCTCTTGTGCTGGAGCAGGTGGCCCTTCCTTGCTTCCCAGGGTCTGGCCCCGCCTTCCCCTCTCCTGAGTCCTCTGTGTTCCTCTCCCCAGACCGCTACAGCTCGGAACAAGAGTTTGTCAGTGACCTGAAGAACATGTGGTTTGGGCTGTATTCAAGAGGCAGTGAAGAGGGGGACTCAAGTGGCTTTGAACACGTCTTCTCAGGTGGGATTACTCTGCTTGGAAAGAAAGAGTTGCAGGGATGAAGAGGCACCGAAGAATCAGCAGCCAGGCCAGCTTGCGGTGGGAGTGGGAGGTGGGGGGCACGTGTACCTCGGGGCCAAGAGGGAGGGGTCTGAGAGAGCCATTTTTGAGGAAGTTTCTTCTGGAGTATCTAAGGGAGAAAGATCACCAGACACTGGGGCTCCCAAGGGGCACATGTAGGAAGGGAGACGTGTTTGCGGCCATGGTTGTGTATCTCAATGGTCCTCTGCTTCTGGGGCTTGACCCGCCGCTTCCCAAGAAGGCCATGCTCTTTCTCTGCACTGCCCCACTCCATACAGCTCCCACCAAGGCTGGCTTGCTCCCAGGGAAATGGCTAGAGGAGCGTCTCAGATTGGCCCAGCATCAGCTGGGAGAAGGAACTCTCCCAGGGCTGAAGCTGAAATGGGGTGGAGGCTTCTGCGGTGAGAGTTAGGGATGCGAGGGACTCTGGGAAGCTGGGGCAAGGGGCTGAGCAGGTGAATATTCTCGGAGTCAGAGACTGGGCAGCCTTGGCACGGAGCGGGGAAAGAGGTTGGAGGGGAAGCCCAGATCACCCAAGCTGATCTCTTTATTACAGGTGAAGTCAAAAAAGGCAAGGTCACTGGCTTCCATAATTGGATCCGCTTTTACACACAGGAGAAGGCAGGCCTGGTTGACTATTACAGCCACGTCTATGACGGGCCTGTGAGTACGGAGTGTCCCCACGGGCTGGAAAAGGCTTGTTAGGACCCAGACTTCCTCTCCTCATTCTGCATTCCAAACAGTCAGACTCGTCTCTCACTTTGACCCTCTTGGCAGCCTAACGGGGACTATGAATAGGACGTTCCTGTCTGCTGGAGACCGGGCTTAACTGGCCAGGATGCTTTCAGTGGAGGTTCCAAACTGTAGGGGGCCAGAGGCAGAAAGCACTCTCTCTCAATGGGAGAGTGGGGACAGGAGAGGATTCTCCAAGGGGAAAACGAAAGACGTGCAATTACCCATTGCCTGAGTTTCCTTAGAAGTTTCAGTCTGGCTAGTCTGAGTTAAACTTCTTACATTTTTATTAAAAAAGAAACCTTCGCTGCCCTGGGCCTAGAAATAATTTGGGGGCAATACACTGTCCCTCTCTTCTACATGTGAGGGCCACGGGGAATAGTTATGTCCCCGCTCTCCGGCATCTGCCATCTGGATGCGGACTCCGGCCTCCTTGGGAGACACTTGCTGGTGGCTCCAGATGGAGGGTCTCAGCGGGAATCAGACACCTCAGCGGGGCAGACTGCTTCCTCTGTTGATTTAAAGAATCCAGCCTCCCCAGAAAGCTCACACAGGCCCCCAAGGGCCCTCGACAAGTCCTGGCCACCCCTCTGCCTGCCCTGTGGCACCCACCAGACCTCCCTCTGCTGCCCTCTCTCCACAGTGGGATTCTTACCCCGACGTGCTGGCCATGCAGTTCAGCTGGGACGGCTACTACAAGCAAGTGGGCTCAGCTTTCATCGGCAGTAGCCCTGAGTTTGAGTTTGCGCTCTACTCCCTGTGCTTCATCGCCAGGCCAGGCAAAGTGTAAGTCCTGGTGGCTCAGAGGGCTTGGACAAATCACCGTTCTGGGCCTTGGTTTTCTCGCTTGGAACACGAGGCTGTTTGATTAGACGGTGGCCACCAACCTTCATCTTAGCAGCAGAACCATCTCCCCTCCTTTCCCCTAAGGGCAATCTTCCATCGGACCTCAATACACAAACAGTTAGAGATGGAGTTGCCCTGGGGCTCCAAGCCTCTCTCTTTGGCCCTGAGGCTGTTTGGGGGAACCTTGGAGCCCCAGAGGGTGCAGTCTGAAACCACTAGGCTTCATCTTCTCTACCATTTGAGGACTCTGGGTCCAAACACTTCTGAAACCCTAAGACGGTATTTCATTTCTGGGGGCTTCAGCTCTAGGATTGGATTTTAGAGTTTTACTTTGGGAAAGATGAGGACCAGTGTTCTTTAAGAAGACAGAAAATAAGACGATTTTGAAAGAGCCCCCTTAGAGGCCATTTAAGATGAGGTGCAGCCCTTCTGCATCAGTTGGACTTGATCCTTCCAGCCTGGGGACAGAGGTGGAGTGAAGCAGGTCCCTGTGATTTGGTGATCTTTCCCCACAGGTGCCAGCTAAGCCTGGGCGGACATCCCTTGGCCATCCAGACCTACACCTGGGAGAAGTCAACCTATGGGAACGGCAAGAAGTACATCGCCACAGCCTATGTGGTGTCCTCCACCCAATAGAGCTTTGAGCCAGGAAGGGGCATGAGGGCAGTGAGGGCTCTTGTAGGACTGAGGTGCTATCTGCTCTGGGCTGGAGAGGGAGGGAATGGAAGAGACTGGGAGGGATTCCCAAATCCAGAAATGTCCATATGGGAGAGAGAGAAAAGATACAAACTGGAGAAACAGTCAAATCTTCGGCCTCCAGCATTCTGGAAACAAGAGCCCAGACAGAAGCTGGGGACCCTTGATAGCTCTTTGCCCTGATGGGAGGTGGAACTGTGAATAAGCCTTTGACCTCTCCAGGCCTCATGTTTCCTTTTAATGTAAACAGGTTTGCCCCATTTCCTCTTTTGGGGGTTGGTGAAGGGGCCAACCTGATGGTATTCTTACTGTGAAGGTGTTTTCAATTGTTCTTAAGAAGAACGGCTGATAGAAATTCCAGATGACTATAATGGCTGTTATTGTACACAGCTCTGCAAACTGCAATGCAGCCCTATGCTGGGGCCTCAAAGAAACCAGGCCATGGAGATCGAGGATGGGTATTTGGTCTTTTCTAGTGTCAGGTCCTCTCAGAACAGGGTCCGGGAGAACTCCAGCGCTGGGTGGAGAGGTTAATGGGTGATGCAGTGAGTAGGCTGGAGAGGGAGTAGACTTCTCCAGGCCTGGTGTTTTCACAGTCAGCTCAGTAACTGCATCAAGAAGCCTGTAGATATTTAGTGCAGCTACAGAGCTGGGTTTTGATTCCAAATAGTTCGTGAAGGAGGTCTCCTCAGAGGAAGAAGATTCTGCATCAGAAGAAGAAAGGAACCTATGGCTGGGTGTTACTAATGTAATTATTTTAAGTCTTACTCAGCAGCCACAATTTGCATAAACTCTACAGTAGAAGACCAGGGAGACTGGGGCTCCCTATTCCAACCTCGATTAAGCATTTCTTCCCTAACCCCATTGGGAATCAGATGCTGTCCCACAGAACAAGGCTTGAACTATGGTTTAGAGGATTTGAGTCTCCAATTAAAGTCATTTAAGAAAATAGGAAATGGGTCTCTTCTTTGTGTATGGCTCCCCTCGACTGTCTGTCTCCCTGCCTTTTTTGAGGAGCAGGGCTACGAGTGATGCTTCTGGCGTTAGCGCTCTTCAGGATGACCTGGAGGACATGGTATCTCGGTAAAGTCCCCGAGGACTCACCAGGTCTCTCTCGCTAAGATGGGGAGAAAATTTGTCCTGGTGGACTTGTAATGTGAAGAGTAGAAGGAGGGCCCTTGCAGCTTCTGGTTCCACACAGAGGGAGCTTGGAAGTCACTACTTCATCCTAAGAACAAGTGAAAACAGCAGATGGGAAAACCAACACTTCTTCTTGGATCTGTACGAGAGGAGGACACAGGCAAACTGCTGCCTGCAAGATTGGAAAGACGGGTGAATATAGGAAGACACAGCTTACTGCAACAGAGACACTCGAGCAGAAACCAGTGCCAGAGTAGGCAAACCTGAGCTGTAACTGATGACTTGCTGGAGGCTCAGTGCAGTGGCTTTGAGAGTTAAAAACTCCACAGGGGGTGAGGGGGAGGCTACAGCACAGTGGTAGATTGCATGCTTAGCATGCAAGAGGTCCTGGGTTCAATCCCCAGTACCTCCATTTAAATAAACAAACAAACAAACAAACCTAATTACCTGCCCCCAACAACAACAAAAAATAAACTAAAAAAAGATTAAAACAAAACAAAACAACTCCAGGGGACCCAGTTATAGGGCACCTGCACAATATTCTGAGATTTACCTCCAGGAGCTCCACCAGGCTCCCACAGTAAATAAATGAGAGAAATTCCTTCAGCCTCCAGCTCAGGTGTGAGAAAAGAAACCACTTTGAAATACTCCAGAGTATTCTGTCCTTCTTAACAATCCTTCTTAACAAAGTCTGCCCTCAAGGAAACTGGTTACCCAGAGCCCAACCGACTAGGGTATTATCAGAGCCTAACTGACTGGGGGAGGGAAGGACTAACTCCAGCCAACCCCAACGCATCCTTGCCCCACAAAGGGGGAGAAAAGACCTGAGAAACACTTGTGCAGTTTACAGTACAGAGGCACAGGCCGACTGAAAGACAGACCTACAAAGGACTGTGGAGTGCTTTCCCACCCCTCACATCTCAGCACCCTATTACTAAAGGCCTATTTATAGCACTTCCTTTTACTGAGTACATCATGTCTGGCTATCAAGAAAAAATTGTCACGTGAAAACTGGGTTTGCCTCTTGGTGGTTGTTGAGCCAAAAGACACAATGAAGCCAAAGATCGGGAGAAGGGAGGATTCATTACTAGAAGCAAGAGAGAACACCAGGATCTTTACCTAAGCAGTGTCTCCCCAAACAGCAAAACCAGGGAAGCTTTAAGCCAAGGGCACATAAATATTCATGAAGGGGCTTGGGCGGTCGGCATAGCCCAGGCTTTAGTTGAGTGAAGTGAGAAAAGGGTTAGAAAAGGTTTACATCGTCATCCCTTAGGTTCCAGCTGATGTGGTGGTTGAGCGATTCAGGCCAGTCTTTACTATTGAAACGGAACAACCGATTTATTATCTTTGCTATTCTTACTTTTCTCACCTGGTAACAGTCTTGTTTCTGCATTCTTTTGTTCCCTAAGATCATTAATTACTGAGACCTGTTCTGAGCATTGTGGCCAGGCTTAGACTAACAAAATGGCTCAGGCCCCAGATGGCTTCTCTTCTGTCAAGAAAGCCATGCCTGGGTCTGTTTATCTGGAGACCCCCTAACCTATCTGCATACAAAATTACAAACCACACCAAAAGGCAAAACACATTTTAAAGAGAGAGCACACAGGGAACTATATTCAACATCTCGTAGTAACTCATGGTTAAAAAGAATATGAAAACAAATATATGTATGTTACTGTATGACTGAAGTATTGTGCTGTTCACCAGAAATTGACACAACACTGTAAACTGACTATACTTCAATAAAAATATATATAAAAAAATAAAGAGAGAGCAAATATCAGAACCAGACATGGCAGGAATGTTGGAATTATCATGCGGGACTTAAAACAACTATGGTTAACACGCTAAGGGCTCTACTGGATAAAGCAGACAGCATGCAAAAAAAGACAGGCAATGTAAGCAAAGGGATGGAAACTCTAAGAAACAATTGTTGGGCTGAACCCCACAGGCCTGCAAGCCCTGTACTTGCCCAGCCTTAAGGTGGAAGAAAGAGCCCAGAGTGAGCAACAGAGACATCAGTGGTTTAATGGATGGGGGGGGGTCTTACATGCCTGAAGCAAGGTCCTGGAGCGACACCCACTGTGTGCAGCAGACACAGGGGACTGCCTACTGGCAGGACATAGCAGCAGTCTTCACTATGGGGGTGTGGGGGAGATAGGGAAGTTACCAGTTATAGAGAAAATGGGCGCCAGCACACTCCTCACCACCCATCTGATAAACTATCATAGTGGAGACATTCTGATCTAAAGATTAGAGCAATCACTAGTTGGGACTAGGGGAAGTAGACATTTATTGTTAGGCTCTATTATTAAGAGGGAAAGTCAGTCATGGGAGTAGGGTGTAGGTGAGGCAGGGACTCGTTGGGCAGGGGATGTACAGAGAACAAGAGAACAGCCATCTTGGGTGGCCCGATCATACAACAACCAAAAAGAAATGCTAGAGATAAAAAGCACTATAACAGAAATGAAGAATACCTTTGACAGGCTTATTAGTAGAATGGACTGCTGAGGAAAGAATCTCTGAACGTGAGGATAGTTCAATAGAATCCTGAAAAGCCAACAGGCAAGGAGAACAAAGGCTGAGGAAAAGTGAACATAATTACCAAGTACTGTGGGACAATGATAAAAGGTGTAACAGATACATAATGGGAACACCAGGAGAAGAAAGAGCAAAAAGAACGGAAGAAATATTTGAAACAATAATGACTGAGAATTTCCCCAAATTAATGTAGGCTGTCCCTTGCTGGTTGTATGGGCAAATTTCTTAATTATTCAGGTCAGTATATTCATCAATGAAATGGCGATAATATCACCATTGTTGTAAGACAAGGAATGCAAAATAACATGCTTATTTCTTATAATTCTTTTGTCTTCCGTATACAAATTTTATTTTGCACTAGAGAGGCAGTTTACTTTCCCTGCTATCAACCTTAACCTTCATCTCCCAGTGCCCAGGTAGTCAAGTAGGACACACAGAGAGAGATGTAGGAGTTATTAAATTCCAGGGTCTGGACCTTAGCTTTGCAGGAGGGTGGGGCAGGAAATAACATCTGTTAAGCTCTTATTGTGTCCCAAGCTGTGCTAAGTAGGCCGTTAACATATATTTTCTTTCTCCAGTAGGTATTTTTATCTTCTCCATTTTAATTTTACCCTCAACAACTGACGTTTAGCTTAAGACCTGGTGCCCAGATTACATTCAGATTACATTTTCATTAAGTGGCAGAATCAGCATTTCAGAATTCAACATTTTCCCTCAGGTTACAGTGAGTCTGGAGTTCCAGCAGTATTGCCTCATTTATTCATTCATTATTTTTTTGATGAAGACCTATTAAGGCCTTTGATAGGTTACTAGTTGCCCCTCAGTATCTGTTCTCTTCCTCTCCTTCCTTTTTTATTGAATTCTAAGTTTTTAGATGAGCACATGACTGCCAAGAGTAAAAACCCTGCACCTCCCTTGCAGGGGGAAGGCTGCCGTTACAGGCATAGTTTTTTCGTAGGACAGTGGGAGTCTCAGGATTAGGTGATGGTGGCCATCAAGACCATTTGACTAACTCCTCTCACTCTGATTCTGTACTAAGCAACGGATTATTATGTGACTTGAGAGAGAGAGAGAGAGAAAGACATGAGAGGTATTTTTCCCCCATGCTCCCTAGGTGATTCCGAAGTTCAGCCAAGCTTGAAAGCCACTAATCTGGAGTTTTGGTCTAATGCTTGAGATCACAGAGCTGTTCAAATTGAAAGGTTTGTTTCTGTTTGTTTTCATGGGATTCAAAATTATTTTTGTTTTACAACTTTAGAGTTGCCACAAAAATAAAAGTTCACTCATACAGAAAGCAGAGGCATGAAATATTAAAAGCTTCATATTCTTTTTTTGTCTGTGGCCAGGACAAATCTAAGGACAGACCTTAATACCGACACACGTCCCAGAAAGACTCAGATAGATACAGTGAGAAAAGGGTGAACAGTTTACTCGCAAAGGTGCAAGGCAGTCAGATTGAAGAGCTGCTTTGCGAAATAAAAGTACTTAAAGGAAACAAAACAAAACAAAACAAAACCCTGAAAAATTGCTAGAGTTACCAGTTTACATAGCCTGTTCTTGGTAGAGAAACAGTAACTTTCTCACGTAAACTGTCATACAAAGGATGTAAAATATCGTTACACACCAACAAGGCAAACATTAGGGATAAGATTGAGGGTAATTCAAGGGAATATTCAACTCGTTATTATTTGGGGAATCAGAACAAGTCAAGATGATCCTGCAGTTTCTGGATTACCTAAGTTTAGTCATCCTGGAAGCAGGCAAAGCGTCAGGTTTCGCTTTAAACATCACAGTCCATTCTCTAAGTTGGTTCTGTCGGGAGGAGGAGGGCGCAGGGCACCCGGCCTTCTGCGCACGCTCTGTCACCGCCCCAGGGGGCGGGGCGAGGGCACGCGTGGACTTGTGGGAAAGCCCCCGGAAGGAGGGGCCCGGCGTGAGTTGCTGAGGGCAGGACGCCGCGCCGGCGGGGCTGGTAACGGCCTGGTGAGGTGAGCCGGCGTTGGCGTTGTGGCCGACTGCAGCGGCGAGGAGGCTTTTGGGGTCGCCTGGCGCGGGGAAAGGGCGCAGCCATGAGTCCCGGCTGAGGCGGAGAGGACGAAGGCGAGGGCGGGCGGCGCGGCGGTCTCCGGGGTAGCGGCGCACCCGGGGGCGCGTTCCGGGAGTGCTCGCTCTCGCGGCCCGGGCCTGGACGGTCCGTCTTGCTGACGGTCCCTCTATCCCGGCTGCCCCGGGCATTGGGCGTTTTGCAGTGGTCAGGACTGCAGATGCACCCTCGGGAGAAAACCTCGGTGGGGCCCGCCCCCTTTCGGCGTGGGTGTGCAATGCACGCCCACATATTGGGAATGAAAGTGATACCCCAGGCGCTGGAAGTTTCTGGTTGCCTGCCTGGACCCCTAGCCCCTTCTCAGGTTCCCTGGGAACAGAGAGGTGATGGGTGGAATGGAAAAGGTTTCTGCCCTCTATGGTATTTCAGTGGCTTGCTGCGCTTTTATTCACGTTTTTGAGTCCCCCGACAAAATACTGTACTAGTTTTGTTTTTTAAATGAGATATACATAGGCCATTAAACATAGATAGGCACTGCCTGGAAGAGGCTTAAACTTAGTTTAGTTTCTGAGGCAAGGCGAGAGGTCAGGAGCCCTATCTGGGGTTGCTAACATCTATTGCTCCTCCTAAACGAATCCCTTTTCTAATCTCTTCTATCTCTCCCATCCTAAAACTGCGCCCCGCTACGCTTAAGCTTTGAATCCCCTCCCACCTTTTGGGGAACCTTGTCCCATCACTCATCCCCTTTCCTATATCTTCTTTTACCTTGTTTCTCCATCTCCACTCCATCCATACTCTTGAGCAGTTTTAGGTTATCGAAGACAAAATTTTACCAATCCCCATATAATCGCATTTACTCAGCACGATTTATTTCTGTCCTTAAAAAAATCTCATTAAAAATAAATATTAACTTTTATATGACTAAATAGAATGCGCTTTATTTCCTCCATGTGACCTCTGTGGCTTTTGGCACTGCTACCCTCTCTGTCTTTTTGAACTCTTGAAAATTCTCTGTGACAGTACTTTCTAAGGTTTCCTCCGGCTCTCTAGATGCAACTGCCTAGTTTTTACTGTGTTCTCATCTCTTCCTTGGTTTGTTCCCTAAGTATTAGTATCTCCAGGCTTTCCCCCTCCCCTGCACTGTCATAGTAATTAAACATGTCCAAATCCCATGATTGTAGCTTCTACCTTTATGCTGGTGACACCCAAATTAATATTTCTAGTCTTCTGTTTAACTTCCTACTGGGTATGTCTTCCTGATGTCCCGTAAGAACTCAAATTCAACATATCCCAAACTGAAAAAAAATCTGTCTTTACACTTGTCCTCCACTCTTGAAACCTCTTCCTTTGAAAATTGTGATTCTTGACTCAAAATGGCACCATGAATCTTACCAGGCTCTCAAACCAGAAGTCTAAGACATGATTTGAGTCCTTCTCTGCTCCCAACTCCCTAATATAATCAGTCATCATGTCCTTTTTATTTTACCTAATGTTTCTCATAGCTTTCAGACTGTAGGTTGGATCTCGTGGTCTGGCGTTTCATGATCTGTCCCACATCCACCCGTTAGCCTTGTTTTCCATCATTCTCCCGCTTCGTCCCTTGTTCTGATTGCCCACTCCACCATATTAATCATTTGTCTGACCCCCTTTGAAACTTGGCTAAATTGTAGGGGACTCTTTGCTTGAACCCACCACCCTGCCTTCTGATTTATGTCTGCCTTTGTGGTCAGTCCCATAGCATCTCTAGGTACCTCTAGAACAGTGGTTCTCAACCAGAGGGTATTATGATTCCCAGGGGACATTTGACAATGTTTGGAGTCACTTCTGGTTGTCACAGCCTGGAGAGAAGGGAGCCCAGTCAGTAGAGGCCAAGGATGCTGCCAGCCATCCTACAAGGCATGGGACAGCCCACCTACAACAAAGAATTATCTGGCCCAAAATGTCAGTAGTCCCAAGGTTAAGAAACCCTGCCTAGTGTAATATTTTGTTACTCAGTACCCTACTAGAGAAGGGACCTTGTCTTTCTTGTTTTTGCATCGCTAAATCTTGATACAGGGCCTATCACATAGCAGAAATACAATAAATGTTGAAAGAAAAAGGAGTAAAGGAAATAACTAGGTTAAACTTGTAAACTTTAGAGATGAGCAGCCAGTCTGCTACCATAGGCTGCTTGCTAATTTCAGTGATTCCTTCCCACTGCCTTATGTTCATGTTGCAATGTGGGGATGCCCAAACTTGTTTGTTTTGCATTTGTTTAATTCAGGAAACGTTGTTTAACTCATTTTTATTTTTATTTTGTTTTATTGATTGACATATAGCCACTTACAGTGTGTCAGTGTCTGGTGTACAGCGTAGTGTCCCAGTCGTGCATATACGTACATGTATTTGTTTTCATATTTTTTTCATTAAAGGTTATTGCAAGATATTGAATATGATTCTCTGTGCCATACAGAAGAAATTTTTTGATTGACTCAAATCAAATTCTTTTTAAAAGAATTCTTTTTAAAAGAATATGCTGGTATTTTCTTTGTTCTGCATCACTTTAGGCTCCCTTCCTTTTGGTCATTTATGAAGAGGTAAAAACCATTAATTAGTTAGGTTTCAAAAAAATAAACCAAATAATTCTGTTTAATTCTTTTCAGAGGTTGATTGATCAAAACTCTACAGGCCATAATGACTTCAACAAATAAAGCAATTGAATTACAACTGCAAGTGAAACAAAATGCAGAAGAGTTACAAGACTTTATGAGGGATTTAGAAAACTGGGAAAAAGATATTAAGCAAAAGGATATGGAACTTAGAAGACAAAATGGCATTCCTGAAGAGGTAAATTTCATAATTAAATCTCATAATTAAATTTCTACTTTAGCATCCAGCAGAACTACTTATTTTAAAGTAAAGCACCACCTTTAAAATGTTTTGTGGAAATACTGATTTGCTCTTTGCCAACATTTTGAAAAATTCTGCTTTTTAAAGTCTTTGTAGTAACTGTATTGACTATATTAAGACATTTTAAGTCTTAGTGAATAGTTACTGAAAGGAAGACCATGTGATAATTCTTAAGGTTAAAGAATAGCATCATAAAATATGTAGGTTTTACATATATTGTGCATATCATATATAATTATGCATTTAATGATATATTAACATACTGTACTGCCATAAAAACTTAGTTCCTAGGCGCAACCAAATATTTAAGACAGTGCATTCAAATATGGATAGCTTTTTCATACTATTTGTAATGATGTGGGGGCAGTTCAGTTTGCCATTGCACTGCTGCTAAATCATTGTACTAAGGCTGAAGATCAGGCAGTTTTTTAAGTTTGAATTGAGGATTGCAAATTAAGTGTATAGTTAAAATTTCTAGGTAATAATTTTCTTATGACTGAACAATGTTCAATATTTGTCAAAGATGAATTAAACTTTTCAAGCATAATTATAAATGAAATGGTAAATGATATTGTTACACAGAAAAGTAATAGAGCAGTCTCAAAACACTGTTGTTTTTCCTCCCTAGAATTTACCTCCTATTCGAAATGGTAATTTTAGGAAAAAGAAGAAGGGCAAAGTTAAAGAGTCATCTAAAAAAACCAAAGATGAAAACACAAAAAATAGGATAAAATCTTATGATTATGAGGCATGGGCAAAACTTGATGTGGTAAGTTGATCTAGTTATGTGCTTCTTAGTATTTGAGTAAAATTTTCTAGGAGTTAAGAGTCCTATGAATTAAATGAAAAATAATGTTGAGTTCTTAGGACCTGTGTCTTTTTCTTACAGACTATTTTGTGTGGAATAAAAACTAATATTGGCTTTAATGTTGGTAGGCTGGTGGTATTTTTTGAATCTTCGTGTTAAAACACATTGCTAAATTTCAGTACATCATCTTGTAATGTTTATTCAGTGAAACTAAGCAGATCTTATTTTTAAATTTATCAACAAATTGTTTTTTCTTACATAGATTATTTAAAATAGTATATTATTTGCTCAACGCAGAAAGGATTTTGTTCATATAATAAGATTTTGTTTGTATGAGCATTAATAATCTCTTTAATGTTTACTGGTTTAAAAGCTCTTACTAAAAATCATTCTTTAATCATATGTGCTAAAAAAAAAGATTAAAAAAAATTATTGGGTTCCATGAGATGATTTATTACCATAAAAAGAACATGTGAGTCAAAAGAGACTGGGAATTGCCGGACTAGCCTGTATGTATTTTCTTTGGGAGAGTCAGCTCTAGTTTGGAATACCCTGAGAAATGTCACTGAGAACTCTGGAGGCAGTCTAGGGATAGATCCTCTTTTGGCCACTTACTAGCTGAGTGACCCCCGAGCCAGTTAACTAACTTCTGTTTCTCAGTTCCTTCAAGTGAAATACATCTGCCTCATAGGTTATTGTGAGAATCAGGAGTTAACTGTACTCTACAAGAAGTTTTTGTGTTTTAAAAATAAGAAAGAATTAAAAAAATAAAAATAAGAAAGAAGATTTTTAGAAAAAAACCGTTGTTTGCTATTACATACATTTGGAGTTATTTACAAACTTCCCTTATGTAAAGCTGTAATACTTCACTGCTAATAGTTTGTGATTTAGGGGTGCTTTGTAAATTCTGTTGACAGCTTATTTAATGAGTTCAGAGTCAGTTTCTCCATGTAGTATGGCTCTTGGTTTTCTGAACAAGAGTACCTTTTTCTCTGGATATAATCTTAACAATGAGAGGTTATTTGGGTTGCTTTTATAGATGTTTATTAGGTTCTTGGATTATAACAACTTTAGTTCTGTCGTGTACTTCTTTTGAGGGGGAGCTGTATCTTCCTTTTTGTTTTTAATGGTCATGTAATTATGAGCGCTGTTCTCCAACTTCTGATTTCAGGACAGTATCCTTGATGAGCTTGACAAAGAAGAGAGCACCCATGATTCTGTGTCTCAAGAATCAGAGTCAGAAGAGGATGGGATTCATGTAGATTCACAAAAGGCTCTTGCTCTAAAAGAAAAGGTACTCTTTAGGTTAGCTGTTGGTTCCTTCAAGTAAGCAGGATGCGTAGAAAATCATGGATCCCAAGATTTCCACAACATAGTTTAGGGGGTGTTCAAACATTAAGTTGTTACCGGCTAAATCTCTAGCAGGAGGCAGTGTGCGTAGTAATTAGGGGTATGTGTGCTGTGAAACTAGGTTACCTAGGTTCACATCCTGTGACAAGTTCTTTAAATTCCTGTATGTCCTCAGTTTTCTCAGCTGTAAAATTAATATTAAGATTAATAACATTACTAACCCTCAATGGGTTGTTGTGTTAGTAAATGAATTATATATAAAGTGCTTGGAGTGTACAGGGAGTTGTTCCAGGGCTTTTAGTAATTTGAATTACTGATCAAATCAGCATGTGATTCTTGACATGAATGTTATATCCCACTCCTCTGTATCACTGGTCATCTTTGGTTGCTTCTTGGACCGTTCAGCATCTCCCTGAGGAATGCCTCATTATTATAAAATTGGCTATATCACTTTTGAAAGAAGTGGCAGTCTTTTCAGATTAAAGTTTATGTTGATGCCTGTCTTTTATTACATTCCTGTGGGTTATTATTGTCAGAACTATTTAATACTAGGAATTTTACTCATTTGCCAATCTGCCAGGACTCTTGGATCGTGCCCAAACTATGACAAGTGTTTCAGCACTTGGAAAAAGTCCACTTTGCTAATTCTTTTTTCTTTCCTGTTAGCCTTGATCACACGGCTAATGAGATAGAAAGAGATGGATAATAATGAAAAAAAATGGTTCTGGAATTCTGCGCTAGTAAATATCTGACGTGTATGCTTTTTCAGGGCAATAAGTACTTCAGACAAGGAAAATATGATGAAGCGATTGAATGCTACACCAAAGGCATGGATGCTGATCCATATAATCCTGTGTTGCCCACAAACAGAGCGTCTGCATACTTTAGACTGAAAAAGTAAGGAATTTCCATAATGTGTGTGAATGTTTTTATGTGTGTATGGAGACTGGTTTTTTAGAAAAATGTTTCGTGATAAAATGTGTGGGAATGCTTGAAAAAGTATTACATTTCTTTTGAAGTATAAATTCTTATAACTCACTCCCTTTTATTGAATTCTTTTATTTAAGCCATTTTAAACATCCAGATGTGTGGGTTCTGTTCGTCGTGGGTTTTGTTAAGCAAAAGTCCCACCACGGAAGAATGAAATTACTCAAGACTTTATCAGCTCAAGAGAGTGAGAAGGAGCCAGAGACTGACTCCCCGAGCTCCTCCAAAACTCTTGTATTTATTGAGAATAGTCAAAGAGTCAAAGTGAAATAACCTCATAGGAATGAGTAAGGGGCATGGTGTATGTGCGGGGATGCAGGTCAGCAATTTCAGTTCGTGAAAAACAGAAACTTTATAATCTAAATTGAAATTTAGAGAGAAGGTTACAATATTGATAGTACAAACAGTTATTCTAAGCCTCAAACAATCATGAGCAGGGTTACATGTTCCAAATAATTGATAATGAAAACCCAGACCACCACAAAGTCTCTATACAATGGTCAGAAATCGTCTAAGCATGGGAAGCAGCCCAGCTGTTCCCAGCTAAGGGCTAAGTCGCAGTCTTCTGTGAGCAAGAGCAGCCTACGCTATCCACCTACGCCTGATAAGCAAAGCGTGTCCTGCCAGTCAGGGAAAGGGACGAGTGGATGAGTTAGGGTTTTCCATAAGCACAAACAGCCCTGAATCTATGACCTCGAACTGAGCAAAGCAAGCAAAGCAAGTCTCTGCTTTTTACGGTGAGGAGACAGTTTGTAGCAGATTCCTGCTAGCAAAGCAGCTTCAAGGCAACTGAGCTAAGTTCCATAGATAAGGTGGTGACTGGTATTGAGACTTTAGTCTTTTGTGCTTTTGGACATTTTGCTTTGAAGTAGCAGTATAATGACAAATATAGAAAGCATTGGTTTTGATTATACATTTCTTATGTATTTACATAAAGGTGAGAATACATAAGGGTGAGAATATGATTTGGTACAGCAATTATTACAATATCAAGGTTTGTTAACCCAAGTTTGTGCTCTCACACAGATGCTCAAACCATGCTTTTATAAGTTACTTTACGGAGGTGCTCCTCCTCTAAAACTTGAGTAATGAGGCTCTTTACCTAATTCACAGGAAAAAAAAGTCAGCTGGGTAAACATTTTTAAAATTAATTTTCCTCCATTATTTTGAAAAATTTATCCACTATTTAACATGGAGAAGTTTTATTATAGTAAACTTAAAATATGTTCCAATTTTTGTTTAAGTCATACTGACCCTTTAAATACATACTTAATGTTGAAGAGCATAAATGTGTATGGTCTTATCCTAAGCAGGGAACTGACCTATCATAAGAACTTTTAAAAAGACAAATACCATCAAGGAGGACATTCTTATTATTTAATTATTATTTGGAAATATGAATTATATTGGTGTCTGAGTTTTTACTATTTTATTTTTATTTTTTCATTGAAGTATAGTCGATTTACAATGTTGTGTTAATTTCTGGTGTACAGCATAGTGATTCATTTATACATATATTCCTTTTCATATTCTTTTTTGTTATAGGCCATTACAAGGTATTGAATATGGTTCCCTGTGCTCTACAGTAGGGCCTTGTTGTTTATCTACTTCATTATTTATTATAGTAGTTAGTATCTACAAATATTTTAAATAGCATATTTAGGTCTTTGAAACTTAGGCTGTTAATATCCAAATTAGGGCAATATTTATATTTTATAATATTTGATATGTGACAAAGAATAATTTTAAATAAATCTGCATGAACCCACCCAACTTGGTTCAAACCAGAACATTATTATTTTTGAAGCTACCTTTTGATATTCTTTTGCATATCTTGACCATTGTAACCCTCCCAGTTAAACCACTATCTTGAGTTATGTATCATTCTTTTAAATTTTTTTCTTTTTTACTATTCTTTTGATTAAAAAAGTTCATTATATGTGTATATATCCCTAAATAATATACTGTACAACTTTGCTTATTTTTGAGGCTTAAAAGTATATCGTGGTAAATGTGGTCTTCTGTGGCTTGTCTTATTTCTTTGAATAGTATATTTCTAAGATTTGTTCATATTTTGCATATAGCTGTAGATCTCTCATTTTCACTGTTATATACAGTTCCTTTTTAGGAGTATACCATTACATACCCATTCTCCAGTTGCTGGATTGTTTTTTGGTTCCTTTCTTCCTTTTCATCCTTTCCTTCTCCCCTCCCTCTTCCTGCCTCCCATCCTCCTTCCCTTCTTATTTAATTACAGTGATACTGTGAGAACTTTTATACATGTGTCTTGGTGCTGGGTCATAGGTTGTGCACATGTTCAACTTTAAATGTGTTGGTGACCAGTTGTTCTAAAGGTAGTTGTATGATTAGCAGTAAGAACACCTGTTCCATATCTTTACGAACACTGGTATAATTGGGCTTCTGAGTTTTCAATCTACAGAGTATGAAATGGTAATTCATTGTGGTCTTAGCATATTCTTATATATTTATTCACCACTTATTTAATTATTTTCTGTGAAATGCCTGTTTTGTCTTCTGGTCATTTTTCTGTTAGGCTGTTTTATTATTGGTTTTTTATTCTGGGTACAAATTCTTTAGTGTTTATTTATAGTAATTCTCTTCTCCCAATTTGTGGCTGATCTCCCTTTTCTTCTTAATGGAACCTTGATGATCAGAAATTCTTAATTTTAATGTGTTTCATTTATGGATTTTTTAAAATATGTTGGCACTTTGTAAAATATGATTTGTTAAAATAGTTTCTGTCTCTGCACTCATAACAGTCTCCTATATTTTCTTCTAAAACTTTTTATGGTTGTTTTTCACACTTAAGTCCTTTTATATATGCTGAAGGTAGAATTCCAGTTTCATGTCATTTCATACGAATAGCCCAGTTGTTCCAGCCCTATTTATTGACTGTCCATACTTTCCCATGGATTTGCAGTTACACCATTGTCATTTGTCAGGTTTGCATGGATCTCTCATCGATCTATTCCTTACATTGATCTGTTGTCTGTTACTATAATAACCACTCCACGCTATGTTTAATGGCTACAGTGTGGTAAGAAGTCTTGATAATTGGTGTAGGACATGTTCTCTTACCTTAGTGTTCTGCAAGAATGTTGGGTATTCTTGGACTTTTACTTAAAAGTACAAATTTTAGAAGCATCTTGTCAGATTCCTTGAAAAATTTTGATTACAATTGCACTGAATTTACAGATGAGTTTGGGGAGAATTATATTGTTATGTTTTTGTGCCTTATAACAGATGAATGTGAAATTGCTCTATTTAAGTCTTTAATGTCTTTGAAGACAGTCTTGCAATTTTCTGCTTATGGATCTTGTACATCTTTTGTTAGATTTATTTGTTTTTTGTTGCTGATCTGGAGTAAAGTAGCCACTTGGCTAAACTTTCATTATTTCTAACAATGTCTCTAGATTGTTTTGAGTTTTCTTGGTGGACCATCACATCATCTGACAGTGTCTGTTTTGTTCCTTTCCACTCAAATTTTTAGCTTTATTTCTTTCTTATGGAACTGCACTGGCCAGAACCTCAAGTACAGTGCTGAGAAAAAGCATTGATAATGGGCATTCTTGTTCTTTGCTTTAAAGGGAGTACCATCAGGAATTACTGATTTTAGTGGACTTAGTTAAATAAAAGGAGGTGGGAAACATGCCTTCAATTGGGAAGTGAATCCCCTTTTCAGAGATTTCAGAAACAAATTTTGAAGTTTTGGTTTCACAAATGATTTTTATTAACTTCACTTTAATTTTTTTAAATTGCAGATTTGCTGTTGCTGAGTCTGATTGTAATTTAGCAGTTGCCTTGAATAGAAGTTATACAAAGGCTTATGCAAGGCGAGGTGCTGCTCGATTTGCTTTGCAAAAATTAGAGGATGCCAAAAAAGGTATTAATATTTTCCAGGTCATCATTATCTAAAAAATTATTTAATAGTTTAATTTCACTGATACTATACAAAGAATACTAGATAATCACAGTTACCTTCAGAGATTTTTGTATATTGAATAAAACTCATTTTTGCAATTTAAAACATATCTTGATATTTTGGGAAGAGAGTGCATTATTTGCCACCGATTAGATTTTGGTTCAGATTCTCAATTGACTATGTATTAGCTGTGTGACCAGGGGAAGGTTATGTGTCTTCTCTGATTTTTCAATTTCTCATCTGTAAAATAGGGATTAAAACATCTTGTTGCTTATTGTAAGGCTAGAGGTAATACATGTAAAAGCTCTTAACACATTTTTGTTTATTTGTAAGTTCTAAGCCTTTTATTATTCCATGAAATCGGTCTGTGTAGTATAAATCACAAAATCTAAATAAAACTGTTGTCTGAAAGATTGTGCTCCTTCCTGGTGTGGTGAAGTATACCTTATGATAGCAAGTATCCTTCCTAGGACTCGTGGAAGAAGGTGATATGTCACAAGGATTCTGTCAAGGTTTGGGGGATGGAGGAAGTCCAGTAAGCATAATGTTAGTATTTCTTAGTTCCTCTTAATTTTGTTAAAGGATAGTTACCTATTTGTCATATGTAGCATATGATTATTGTTTTATAGAGGTTTCTCAATACCATGTATCTTTCAAATATTCTTTATCTTCTCTTTTACTCAGATTATGAAAAAGTGTTAGAACTGGAACCAGATAACTTTGAAGCTACAAATGAGCTCAGGAAAATTAATCAGGTAAATTGTAGTTATTTAAATTAAGTGCGTTATTTGTTACTTTTGGTTTTTTTTTTTTTTTTTTTTTTTTGCGGGGAAAGGTAATTAGGTTTATTTATTTATTTTAATGGAGGTACTGGGGATTGAACACAGGACCACATGCGTGTTAAGCATGCACTATGCCACTGAGCTATATCCTCTCTCCCAATTTATTACCTTTATTTGATAAAGATTTTTGCATAGACTTTGTACTGTAGATTATGTAATATAGATTTTTTTCTAATTTTAATTCTTTATGCTATAAAGTTTTTTACTAAACACATTTGTAAGCTAGAGGTGGTATAGTGATATTAAAAATTCTTAATTATTCATTATCTAAAAAGTTGTCTGAGATCTTTAGTATCACAGTTGCTTTACTTTTTCCCAGATGACAGAATTAGTTTTTCTTTATCCCACTGGTTTTTCTTTTTTGGTTTGTGCTGTAATTTTTGTACCAAATTTTTGCTTATTTCTTTGATTTTGTAGTTTTTTAAACATGCTCTGTCTTTATGGTTTATATAGCACAAAAATGCTGATTTGTTTTAACAGTAAAAAAGTAGATATTAAATGTGAAATTTGCTGTCAAATGATACTGAACAGTTACACATTCCTTTCACTTTGCTGTTGAATCAGAATTATAATTATTTTGCCATCTGTTGAAACTTTGAGAAAAAAGTGACAATTAGGGAAAATCTGCTTTTAAATATTGCCATTACTTATTGCACATAAAATCTGTTGGTAAATATATCAACTTGATTATAATTGTGAACTATATTGTATATTTTGTGTTTTGTCCTATGTCAAATAATGATGAATATTAAATTTGAGAGCTTTGGTGATGTGGTCTCAATTACTTTATTTTTGAAAATCATTCCTAGAACAGTGTAGAAATTCAGTAAATATTTGTTGAATAAATAAATGAACAACTATTTTTATGAATACTAATTATTTTAATTGGAATAAGATACACATTACTTTTTTTGCTTTTTATTTTAATAAGTAGAAAGACTTTGAATTAGAGTAAATAGTATTATTTTAATTATTTGAAATGTGGCAGGAATTCTAATATATTTGAATAATTTATTATTTTAAAGTCAAATATATATGCATTTTGCATTACTTGTTTTATTTTAGCTGACTGCTCTGTCTCCTAGGCTTTAACTTCCAAAGAAAACTCATGTCCGAAGGAAGCTGACACAGTGATTAAGACAACTGAGGGAGAGAAAAAACAAATTGAAGAACAACAGAATAAACAGCAGGCCATTTCAGAGAAAGATCGGGTAATCCAGAAGGATTCCAGCATATAATATATATGTTTTGCTGAGATTAATTGTAGTTTTTTGTGTTTCAGTTTTTTCTTTCCTAATGTTATATTAAACTTTAGTAGAAACTAAAATTAAATATACTAAAACCTTTGGTGCCTACTAATTAAAACTTTGAGTAATTGATGACTTAATACATAATTTAAAAAATGTATTGAAGTTTAAGAAACAATTTTTGAACATTTTGATATATTTACATACAGTTAGTTATAAATTTAACACAGAAATAAATTATAATTTGTTCTTATTTACTTTTCATTAGTTCACACTGGACTATTTCTGATCAATATTTCTTTAGAATTCTTGGGCTGAAATTTAACATATTTATAGCCTTTCATGGACCCACAGAGGATTCCTAATAAATATTTATGGAATGATTATTGATTGAATTATATCTGACTCTGATTATAAATAAATACTACAATGAAATCTAGTATACATTCCAATACAGTTTAATTTATCTTATGTTTAGGCATTTTAATGTTACTAAAGAAGGAGCTATATGGTCTGGTACTCTGTTCTTTTACAGAAATTATTTGAGTTATGAAATTCTTTTGTATGGATTCTAATATAACTAAAGAGTGTAATATTTGGGCCTATATTTATTAAAATGTTTTTTTAAATTTAAGCTTTGTCCAATCTTTAATTAGTAAAATGGTTAATGCTGCAAAGTAATATAGTAGTATACTTTTTTTCTTTTGAGTACTGAAAGGAGAACATCATTATAAGAAACAACCTAAACTAACAGATTCTAAAACATGTATCGTGAATTTTTTTTATTTTGGTTGGAGGTATGGGGATGGAACCCAGGACTTCATGCATGCTTAGCATGTGCTCTACCACTGAGCTATTTCCCTCCCCTTGTATCATGGATTTTTAACAGTTAAAACATACTTTAATTACTGATACAATATTGATGAGTGTATTTGCAGTGTTTCTTCAGCTTTGAATTCAACTAATGTTTTTGCATATTTTAAAATTTTTATCCATACTTCTTTCCAAAATGATAGGGGAATGCATTTTTCAAAGAGGGGAAATATGAAAGAGCAATTGAATGCTATACTCGAGGGATGGCAGCAGATGGTGCTTATGCCCTTCTTCCAGCTAACAGAGCAATGGCGTATCTGAAGATTCAGAAGTAAGTAATGGTTACTTTTAATTCTTTTCAGAATGAAAATGAAATTTACCATAAATTGGCATTGTCGCTAAAGGGTGAGTTTGAATTTAATTCATTTCTCTTTGTTTACTTATTTATTTTTATTTTTTTAAATGGTGGTACTGGGATTGAACCAGGGACCTTCTGCATGTTAAACATGTGCTCTACCATGGACCTTTACCCACCTCCTAATTCATTTATTCTTAAGCATTAAAGTTAAATGAGAGAGAGATTGTGTGTGTGTGTGTGTGTTAAGTGTCGTACATATTCAGTAGATGTTAACTATTGTTAATATTTTTCCACTTTTAATGGCCTGGCATTACACAGTTTAACACCTCTTTAATTGCTTTATGTTATTCTGAATTAGTGATTTGAAAATTATTTTTAACCCCAGAACCCTTTGGGCAGAATCTTATGTGAAAGTGTATACCTATATAACAAAAGGGAGTTACTGTCATTAAAACTGCTGTTTGATTACATATACAACTATAGCTTGGTCCTGTGATACTAACCACGTATTGCTGGATGGACTCAAGGGCTCCAAGTTGGATAATCAGCAGGATAATATCTGATGACAGAAACTGTCTCTTACATTTTTTTTTATCTATTGTTATATAATCATTTACACACTAGTAACAGAATTAGAAAATCCTGTAACTATTACAGGTAGGGATTCTAAACTTTTTTGGTGCTGGAGACTGCTTTGGCTGCATGGTGTACCTTTCTCAAGATAGTATGTTTGAATGCATAATTACACATTTAGGATTACAGAAGATATCAGCTATATTGAAATACAGTTTTAAAAATATTAAAATTTGTGGTATACTGGTATATTTACTTTTAAAAATTCACTCTGCAAAATGAGAACTTACATTTAAAAAACAGGCAAGTTAGACATTTTTTTAAAGAAATATTATTGTGAAAGTTTGAATAAAGCCACTAGTATTTGGGATGTTCTTTGACAAATCTTTCATATACTAATCAGTCAGTAAGTGTGGATAGAGAATGCCCAGAAAGCAGCACAGATGATCATGTTACCAGTGTGATAATATATGGCTTCACTCTGGCATCTGAGTGACTGCTAGGTGCAGAGGTGCCTGGTAGTTGACCAGCTGTGACATAGGAGTGTCTATAAACAGGGATGCTGTGATCACATGCAGATAAACTGCAGGTTAAATTACTACTGTATATCTGAAATAGTTGTGATATCTCAAAGATACCTGTAACAAATGTAATGTGATATGAAAATATCTAATTTTTATTGCTAACAAAGTCATAGGTACTATGGTTTGTTACCTGCAGTTATAATTGAAAGGAAAGCTACATTTCATTAAAAGTTAATGAAAATAAGGATACAATATTTCTCCCATTCAAGTTTTCAGATCTCTCAAAGGATCTCAGGCTCAGAACCCCTGTCATAGAAGTAAATTTTGGTTGTATATTTAACCTCATTGACGCTAGCAGAAACAGTAAAGATGAATTATTTTGATTAACCAGGGTAAAATCATTGCATATCTTGCTAACTTATGAAAATTTTGCATTTTGCTATTTAAGAATTGTATATGATTTAAAATTGTAAGGCCTAGATTTTTAGGTTTGACTAATGCCAAGAATAATTATACCCACATTTATGAGAGCTCTAATTTATTGTTAGTCTTATTGCTTTATTTGATAATGCCATAAATGTATTATAACAAGTTAACAGTATATTTTAAATTTAAAGAACTATATGACTCTTTTTTGTATCTTTTTCTACTGTGTCTTTTTGATTCACAGTTAATATCGGAAGTTTACTACGTGGTGACTGCTGTTAAATATTATAGACTAGATGAAGAACAAGGGAAGGTGCAACTTTTCAAACAGGAGTTTAAATTGAACCAAGATCTAAAGGGGTTGTATGAGTTAGGTGAAAAAACAAGTCGAGTGTCCCAGTGCAGGTTCAAAGGCACAGGAGTGGAAACTTTCATGGTGCCTTCTGGGAAGGGCAGGTGGTCCATATGATGGCAGATATAAGGCTGGAGAGTCAGGCAAGCCCCTGACTTTGTGCTCTACAAAGGAGCTTGACTTTATCCTGAGAAGTGTGGGAGCCATGCAGTATCTTGATGGGAGAATGGTATAATCAATCAAGCAAAAAATATATTTTTTGTGTCATGGACATGCACACACACAAATGTAATTTTTCCCTCTCACTGAAAAATGAAGTAAATTCTTTTTATTATGAAACTTTTCAAACTTTTATGAAACTAACATAATAAACTCTATGTACCAGATCATCTAGTTTTCATAAGCCATATACCTTTTTTGGTCATATTTGTTTCAGCTTTTGTTTCCCTTGAATTACTGTAAAGCATATCATGAGTATTATGGTATCTCATTCCTAAAGGATATTTCATCCATAACCACAATACCATTATTTGCCAAATAAATTCACAATAATTCATTAATGTCATTGTAATATATATGAGGATCTCACTTTTTTTATCTGTTCTTTGTTTTTTTAGATATTCTTAGCTTTTTGTTTTCGTAAAGCAATACCTAGTTAGGCTGAATTGATCATTAGTTGCATGGCTGTGTAGAATGTATGAGAAGTATCAGAAGACACGCTCTCACATATATAGTGAATTCTGAGTTTTGTATGTGTTGTTTTCCTTAAGTGATGTATACTATGGGTAAGTATCAATGAAGTTTGGTTGGAAAGTTAATGCCAGAGGTAAGTGTTAGTGTAGTGCCTATATGCAGTGAGAGGTAAAGGAGAGGCACGCTGTCAGCAGTGGTGTGCTTTTGTCCGCGCTACTCAAGTCTCATCATATTGACTCCGTCCTACCAGCAGACTCATTCCTGACTTTCCTTTAATCTGATACCTTCTCCCTCCTTACCAGATGACTCCAAGATTTGATGAGAATGAAAAATTTAAAAAATAGATGTTTTACCCTCAAACACAGATTTGGGAGTTGATAATTGAAATTTTATGCATGTTTTTTAATTTAGAACCTCAGTTTATATGAAGTTCTATAAGCTGTGTTTTTCTACTTGGTAATGTTGTCATGTTTCATAGGTATGAAGAGGCTGAAAAAGACTGCACACAAGCTATTTTATTAGATGGCTCATATTCTAAAGCTTTTGCCAGAAGAGGAACTGCAAGAACATTTTTGGGAAAGTTAAATGAGGCCAAACAAGGTACGACTATTTTTGTAACAAGCGGCACTCCCTTATCCTGTTGAGACTCCCAAGTCATAGAAGCAGAGATTTGCATAGCCTTCCCGCAGTTCAAGGATACAGAACTTAGAGATGTATGTTTTCTTTCACAGTTTAGGTTATGAATGAGTTTGCAGATCTGAAGGAATGCAACTTCCAAAGTGGGCCTGATTATCTTTTAATAGCATATAGTACAATCTGGCCAATCGCCAATTAAAATTATTGAAAAATTTGAATTATAGGTGAGAAAGGAAAAAGCAAGAAAAAGGCAAGAATGAAAAGAAAAGGAAGAGAATCAGCAACAAGGAGATGGAGGCTAGTGTAAGATCTGTAGTGGTGCCCCCCCCCCTTTCTTACTGGTTATCGTTATTTTTTCATGATCTTTAAAGTATTTATTTTATTAGTCATTTTGAAGAACCAGATTATTTCTCTTGTGTTTTTTCTTTTTATTTATTTCTACCTTTGTTTCCTTCTTTCAACTGTCTTTTGGTTTAATTTGCCTATTTTCTAACTTCTTGACTTTAATACTTACATAATTGATTTTCAGCCTATGTTTTTTGATGTGTTCTTTTAAGTCTGACAGTTTAAATCTGGCTTCAGCTGTAGACCATGCATTTTTTTTTATTATGGTAGAATATTCATAACATAAAATTTACTCTTTTAACTCATTTTTAAGTGTACAGTTCAGTGGCCTTGAGTACATTCACACTATTGTGAACCGTCACCGCTATACATCTCCAGAACTTTTTCATCATTCTGTTCTGAACACTCCCCATTTGACAGTAACACTCTATTCCCCCTTCCCTCCAGCCCCTGGTAACCAGCATTCTTCTTTTTGTCTCTGAATCTGCCTGTTTGGGGTGCCTTCATATAAGAAGAATTACACAGTAGTTGTCCTTTTGTGTCTGGCTTATTTCATTTAGCATAATGTCTCTAAGGGTCATCCATGTTGTAGCATATATCAGAATTTGATTCCTTCTTAAGGTTGAATAATATTTCTTTAAATGGAATTCTCTTAGATTCAATCTTCATTTGTTGCATTGCGCTGTCGTTTGTTAACAGTGTGAGTTTTGGTAAGTTAGATGACCTCTAGGCCTCAGTTGTATCATCTGTGAAGTGGAGTTGTAGTGAGGGTTACATGGGAATTCACATAAAGCAACTAAAATAGTACTCGGTAAATGTTAGTTCTTGTTATTGTTCACCCGTTCCCTAGCATTGTGAGTAAAACTTCTTGAGATGAATATGGGGTTACTAACTAAATATAACATGTCTTGAACTCCAAAAAGTATTTTCACTAGTATATTTCTTAATTCATTTTAGATTTTGAAACTGTTTTACTTCTGGAACCTGGAAATAAGCAAGCAGTAACTGAACTTTCCAAAATTAAAAAGGTAGTGTATTCTTTCCACCAAAATATGGTCTTGCTTTCTGAAACATAAACACATTTATTTGTTGCATAGTTAACTTGAGAATATTTTGATAATCATGATTACCAATTTATTTTCAAGGAATTAATTGAGAAAGGACACTGGGATGATGTCTTTCTTGATTCTACTCAAAGGCAAAACGTGATAAAACCCACTTATAATCCATCTCATCTTGGGTCAACTGTAAGTAAAGCCCTTTTTCTTTAATTTTTTTCCTTGTTATTTAAATATCAGTATTAAGAGTTGGAAACAAACTGGAGCGAGGGATAAATTAGGAGTTTGGAATGAACAGATACATACTACTATATATAAAATAGATGAACAACAAGGACCTGCTGTATAGCACAGGAAACTGTATTCATCATCTTGTAATAAGCAATAACAGAAAAGAATCTGAAAATTTATGTGTGTGTATATATATATACATAGGTATATATATGTATAACTGAATTGCTTTGTTGTACACCTGAAATTAACACTGTAAATCACCCAATAAAAAAATTAAAAAAAAAGTTGGAAACAAACTGTTGAATTGATAAACTCTTAAAAGAAATGTTGGAATTTCTTCCTAGGGCCATTTTTAGAATCTTTAAAAAATATTTCTTAGGAATATTGATGTAATAAAATTGGGGAAAATTGAGCTGTTCAGAGTTCTGGGATTACTTTTTAAAGTGACTTAATTTAACACTATAAATATTTCTATATATTTTCTGATTTTAAAGGAATTTGAAATAGTTTTGCATTTTGTAGTAATCAAATACTTTTTATTTCTGTTACTATTTTTATTTGAGATATCCTGTGTTGGGTTAGGTTGATCTAAAATTAGCACTTTTGCAAAAATCTGATACAGGCATTCCTTGTTTTATTGTGCTTCGCAGATACTGCGTTTTTTATAGATCAAAGATTTGTGGCAACTCTATGTTGAGAAAGTCTGTTGGCACCATTTTTCCAATAGCATTTGCTTACTTAGTGTCTTCGTGTCACATTTTGCTAATTCTGACAATATTTCAAACTTCTTCATTAATATCATTCGTTATAGTGATCTGTAGTCAGTGAACTTTGTTAGTATTGCAGAAAAGATGAAAGGTTCAGAAGATGGTTAGCCTTTTTTTGCAATAAAGTATTTTTTAATTAACGTATGTATTTTTTTAAGACAATGCTATTGCACACTTAATAGAAAACAGTATAGTGTAAACATAACTTTTTTTAAAACATAACTTTTATATTTACTGGGAAACCAAAAATTTATGACTTGCTTTATTGCGATATTCACTTTATTGTGGTGGTCTGTAACTGAACCTGCAGTATCTGTGAGGTATGCCTGTACAGGCAAAACTATCCTTAAGAATATACACTGCACGCTGGTTTTGGTATGCATACTGTTTGTCATTAAGTCCGGCAAAGTCAGCTTTTTCCAGCGGTATTGAAACAGAAAGAGTAGCTGGTAAAATTCAGCAGTTTTATGCTGGAACCTTAAAATTGAATTATTTAAGGAAAATATATATAATGTGACTCAGTAGTAGTTTCTAACATTTACATAGTACTATATATAGAAATTATGAAAAATAAAATATATACAGAAAAGTACACAAGACAAATTAAGATTTAAAGAATAATTATGAAGTGAACACCCATGAAACCACCAACCCAGTCAGAAAAATTGAAAAGTATCAGCCTCCAGAAAATCTCCCTGAGTGCCCCTCCCTGATCATGATCCTCTCCCTGCCCTCAGAATTAACTGTTACCCCTGGATGATGCTTTGAGAAAAATAACAATTTTAGAAGGAAATCAGGGCAGGTATTTTTATTCTCTTTTTAGAAAAGAAGGAGGTGAGGGAAAGAAAGTGTTAAAAGTGTTTTGCGAAATTTGTATTTCAAGTTAGTAGCAGATAGAGGAATTCTTAGTTTAGTACTTGTCTAGGGTTCTTATTCTGACTATTCCTGAGCTTTTCTGAGACAGCGCTTGTTTCACATGCCAGGCATACATCTAGTTGCTTTCATACATTATATTCATTCTTACACATCATATTCATTTTCTGTTACTCTGTTCTTCACAATAAAGGTGATTAAATGTTTAATTCAGTGTGATTTTAAACTTTTATGTCTTTGTAAAACTTTGTAACAAAAATTAATTCAAAAGTTAAAAAAAAAGGTGTTTGTCAGACTTTGCTGTTCATAATTATAAAGACATTGCCATGTCGTAGGTCAGATGTCTGCTTATATAATAACATCCCATGGCCAGTATACCTGAAACAGCTTTTATAAATCTGTGGGATTCTCATCTCCCTCACTTTAAAAATCAACTTATGTTAATAGTTGTGAAAATGCAGCATAACTTTGAATCTTTTGCGGCTGGATCTCAAAACAAAATAAAACACCTCCATCAATTAAGAGATCCATTTTGAAACTGATCCAACATAAACAAAATCACTGCCCTAGTGGGAAGGGGAAAAAATTGCTGTTTATTTTTGTAATAGGTCTCCATTTTAAAAAATGGACATTATTTTAAAAAATAGAAGCTGCAGCTTGGTATGATGCGTTTAAGAGTCGGTTTGAGCCCCAATTCATAAACTTTAAAATCTTAGGCAAGTTAGCTAATCCCTGTGTGATTCTTACTTTTTCTACTTAAATTGAGAATAACTTCCAGGTTAGTTGAGATGAAAGGAAATGATGTCCATTAATGCTAAGACAGTTTCAGGTGAAAAAAATGTTAATTTCCTTTTCAGCCACATATACGTGAGGCCACCTAGTCACTGACAAAAGTGGCCAGGACATAAAGGGAGGCCCAGGAAGTGGAGAGAAAGTCCTGGGGTTCCTTTATTCAAGTGAGAGGCTAGGCCTATATCCCATGTTCAAGGACTGGCAGCCCAGAAGGATCTTCTCTAGAAAGAGTATAGGAGAGCAGTAATGGAGATCGGCTGGGGCCTGGGTTTCCCAGATAGGGTGGTAGTATCTGGAAGTTTTTCCTGATCTCTTAGTCTCTGCTAAAATATTTTATTTTGTATTATTTATTTTCATTTTCCTGTTTTCCCATATCAAAATTTCACCTTTTTACTTGATCCTTCTCCTTCTCTTTCTCCCTTTCTGTTTATTCTGTGTTTATTTTTACTGAAGTATAGTTGATTTACAGTGTTAATTTCTGTTGTACAGCAGAGTGGTTCATTTATACACATACATATTTCTTTTCATATTCTTTTTGTTTATTATTTCTCTTTTCTTTTTCTTGAAATGGTCATAATAGAGAGCTAAATAAAATGTTATGCTTCAAAATCTTAATTTAAAGGAAGAGATGAATTGATCCTTTCAGATTTTCTTATATCTTTCTGTAGTGGTATCTTCTGTGTTTTACTCCTGTTACCAGTGTGCAGTCATTCCCCATCCCTCCCAGCCACTATCAGTAGCATTGAGCAGCTCTCAGTACCCTCTGGTCTACCCTTAACAGAGCTCATCCGTTAGGAAGTTCATTACTTAGGATTATGTTTACACATCTGTTGTCAAAGAAAGGATTTGGTTTTAAATGGGACTGCATTGATACAATTCAGTAATTATAGTTTTTTTTTATATTCTGTTCTTTAACACTATTTTTTTTTTAACACTAACACATGTCTGTTCTTGGTCAATGTCTTGATAGAAAACTATTACTGGTAATATTTCTCAGCAAAGCAAAAGTTAGCTTAACATGGTTATTCTGTAAGATAGAACTGCTAACAAGATTCTGTTAACAAATTTTTAATAGCTTTTTTATTTGCATTCATCCAGTAACACTTAGTTGTCACCATTAGGTCTTATCTTAGCTATGCTAATAGAATATGTGGTTTTAACATTGAATTTAGCATATAGGTCAAAAGTTTTAATATTTACAACTTTTTGATTTAAAATTCAGCTGTATAGTTGGAATGAACACTTTAGAGTATACTGAAGGAAGTTTCTTATTAAAAATAAAAGAGTATGACATGTAAACTTAGGAAGAAATTGAAAATGTTTGACACCTGTAATGATTTGAAGTAAATAGTGAGTGCTATTTTATTAAATTAAAAACCATTATTATGGTCAACTAGTTACCAACTTTGTGAATATTATTTGGCGAATCTTTAATCCGGGCTGGTTTTATCCAGCTGCTAGATATGTGGAGGATACACTTAGGTTTTAATGTTAGTCTCTTTCATACAGAATGCTGGTTATTGTCTGGCCTCGTTCTGCTTGCCTTCAGTTAGCCCACAGTACTGCTGTCAGTTTGGTCATGTTTTCTCTTGGCTTTATTGCTTCGAGGATAAACTCCAAACTCCTTGACATGGCACACAAGTCCCTTTGTAAGCTGTCTTTAAGCAGTCTTTCAGGCCTTGTCTCCACTACTCCTCCCTTCACACCCGCCCCACTGGACTTTGCATCTTTCCACTGGCGGTACTGTACCCTCCACATTGCCACTCCTGTGACCTTTTCTGTGAAGCTCCCCTGCTGTCATTTTTTATCTTTTTTCCTCTGTGTTCTTTAAGCATTTTGTGCCTTCATCTTTTATAGTGTGTATCCCATTGCCTTGTAATTATTTATCTATGCATCTTCTTTCCCCCATTTAGACTTACTTAGGACAGGTGCCATGAATCTTCTTATTCTTTGTATTCTCAGGCAGTATGACTCCAAATTGAATTTACTTATACTGGGATGTTGGCTGTAAGAACACTGTAACCTTTTAATTTGTGACCTGAAAATTGGAAATGTTTGTATGTTGATGTAAAGAATTGATTTTAATTGTTTTAGAAACCACTCAAGAAGGTTATTATTGAAGAAACTGGTAATTTGATACAGACTATTGATGGGCCAGATAGCACTGCTGCTGCTCCAGGGCGCACTCCTGTTAGTGGAGCAAACGTACTAGCAGCCACAGGCGCTGCCAGTAAGAAGGGCTCCAGCCAAGAGGACCTCGTGCCCACAAGTGATATTCCAAAAGCAAAAGTACTGAAAATAGAAGAAGTCAGTGATACTTCAGCTCTGGAGTAAGTAGAAATTGTCTTTTTCATAATCATCTAGAATGGTAGTAATTCCGTTAGAAAATTGGTATTACTGATGAGACTTCTGATTTGTTCTCATCACCGTAATTGAACTGTCCAGCTTCACATTCTAGTTTTTTTTTCCTTTCTTTTCACTTAGCCATAAGGGATTTTGCTGAAGGAATGATCACTAATCCTTTACCATAGTTAGGGATTTAGAGATGACAAGAGCAAGTATCTTGAACAAATTGATTTAATGCATTTTCTTTTCCAGAACTCCGGTAAATATGTTTCACTTAGTGAATGAGAATGTTTAGTTTTTTAAAAGGAAGTTACATAAACAGTGTAGAATTTAGGCATTATCATTTTTCTAGCTGTTAATACTAAGATTATTTGTGGGCTTTTAAAATTTTGTTTGGAATTTAAAAAATAGTCATGCATTTCCCTAATGAGAATATGAAAGATATGGATTAATTGTTTCCTTTGGGGTATTGAAACTTTATTCCTATATTCTTGCATTGCTACTCATCAGTCCTATTAAAAGGGTTTTTTTTAGCTTTGAATTTTAGTAGTTCTGTTTAGAGTAATATATAGATTGTATGAAAACTCTTTAAGTAGGCAGATTTTTTTTTTTGAAGGAGGAAGCATTTCTTCCTTCTTGGAACATCTTTCTTGAAACTGGTAATTCAGATAATTCAGAGTGGAAGGCTGTGTTGTGAATAAATGTGAGGTCATAACGCAGTATATAGAAATTGTTTCTCAAAAGGTGGCCAGGCTGTTAGCCCAACTGATGAGAATAGTCATTACATAACTAGCATGTGAAAATTTGTGAAAGGGCAATCTGTCTTGCCAAAAATACACGTATATTATCAGCTGAAAGAATTTACTACTTGCAGAGTATAAATAGACTATGTACTATTAATAAAGTCAGAAATTAAAAAAGTCTCTATTGATGTTTCCTTATATAAACTTTGACTATTTGTGGTTCTTTTTTGATTATTTGATGCCTCTAAAACATTTCAGACCTCAAGTCAATTTGAAAAAGGATGTATGTCAGTCTTACAGTGAGAAGATTTCCGTAGAAGTAGACAAAACACCTGCTCAGTTTATCAGGACTGTTATTCCTCCAGTTCCTGCAAACTCATTTCAGCTTGAATCTGATTTCAGACAACTGAAAAATTCTCCAGATATGCTGTATCAGTATTTGAAGGTAAGAGGGAGGAAGCTAGTAGTTCTATTGTAAGTAAAAAATCAAAGAACTTCTTTTGTCACTATATAATACTAGTGTCGTATTTGTTTTTTGTATAAAATGATTGTAGACAATGCCCTTCTCTTATCCCTTGCCTGATACATATATCACTTTGATCAGACCACTTTAAATATTTGCAATATGGGACCCTTTGGAAATAGGTTCTGTGTTAAGTTATTTTAGAAAACAGAATTTAATCTAATTTCAAATACTATGACCCAAACTTAATTCTTCATCCCTTCAGGATGAGGAAAGAAGCTAAAATACACTGAGTGCCTTCTGTGTGCAAAGCAATGCTTGCAATATTTAGTCAGTCATTCTTCTGAAAATGAGCTTTTACTTGCTCAAGAAAAAGAATCAAATCATATGAAATTTACCAAATAATGGATTTTTTAGCATTGTCTATTTCAAGTGTACTTACAGTAATGATCTCTTATAATTATGCAGTATATAATGTTTCCAAATATATTATATCATTCTATTTTTAAACTCTCTAATTCTTTTTATTGCTCCTTAAGGGCTCTTTCACGTTGCCTGTTTCTCTTGGGTGGTATACATCTCTCCATGAGACTTTCCTCTGACTTGAACAGAGCAATTATCTTATGGTACCTCTAACTTCCATTCTTCAATCAGAGTTACATTTCAGTGTGACTCCATTTTATTATTTAAGTACTAGTGCATTGTAGTTATTCTTTACAATAGTCTCCTAAGAATTATTATATAAATAATTTGTGATTTTGGAATAGTGCCATAGTTTAATTTTCTAACTCTCTCTATTTTTCCCAAGCAAATTGAGCCATCCTTGTATCCCAAGTTGTTTCAGAAAAATCTAGATCCAGGTGTATTCAACCAAATCATTAAAATTCTGCATGACTTTTACATTGAGTAAGTAAGTTTAGTTATACTTCATATGTAATGCTCAGCTATTTCTAGTGATTTGGGAGATTTATTCTTTTTGCTATCATATTAGTACCTCTTATATAGCAAAATTGGCTCTCTAGTAAAGTTTACTGTTGCAGAAGTTGTAAATAAATGACAATTACAAACAATAAAAGGTGAAATGATCAGGAGGAAAAGGACTTAAAAGTTTTTTTTAGAGAAGGGTAGAGTATGGAAGTGAAAAGTATCATAGAAGGTTAATAACGTCTGTTTGCCATTCCTCACATTTCAGAATGATTTAATTTTTTCAGTGGACTTACAAAACCCTTCATTTGAGCCCTTAAAATATAGACAGTATATAGGGGAAAGTGATAAATGAAGACCTTACATAGAAACCTTATTTTAGTAAGTAATTAAATGAGCTACTTTTAATTGATCACTTGTTTTTATTTGGATTATTTCAGGAAGGAAAAGCCATCACTAATTTTTGAAATCTTACAAAAGCTTTCTGAACTAAAAAGGTTTGATATGGCAGTGATGTTTATGTCAGAACCTGAGAAAAAAAGTAAGTTTTGTGAAGGAAGTTTTTTTATATCTTTTTATTCTTGTGCGTTCCTTTATTTATTCAACAAATGATAGCAAATATTTATTGAATGTTAATTATGTACAAGGTACATACAGTTAAGTCTAAATAATTATAATTAAGCTAATTAAATTGAATTATAATTAAATTAAGTAAAGTTAAACTGTTTGATCCTGACAGTAGCATTGTGAGGTATAGGTATCATTGCCGTTTTCCTTTTCAAAGGAGGAAACTCAGGCACACAGAGCTAAGGAACCTGACCAAAGTTACATAGGTAGGAAGTCAGACCCAGAATTTAAACTGAGGCAGTCCGGGCTTATGATCTGGGCTCTTCTACTTGAAAGTGCGGTCATGGTGTAATGGTTGAGCTCCTGGCATGGTGGACATATACAAAGTCCCTGCCACAGGCGCATGTAACTGGGCGTGGGTGCGTGGAAGGCGTCCTCCATTCTTTAAGAGCTGATTTCCTTGAGTTTGTTTGATTTAAGCTGAATTCTCAAAAAAGTGCAGCTGAATTCTCAAAAAAGTGCAGGAGTTAGATGAAGAGGGTATGTACAGAGGTAAGAGAGCAAATTGAGCTCAGAAAATTAAAAGGAGTGCCATGTGGCTGGATTGTAGAGTTAGGGGGTAAAGAAAGGCAGGTGATGAGCCTGAAGAATTAGATCCTTTACTTAATTCTACATCACAATCTTTGGCATAAAATGTCAATTTTGGGGAACCCGAATTTAAGTAAAATCAAACTTTGGAGAAACTTCCATCATAGTTGATCCTTGAACAATGTGGGGGTTAGGGGTGCCAACCCTTCGCACAGTCGAAAGTCCGTGTACAATTTTACAGTCAGTCCTCGTACACGAGGTTCCACATCCATGGATTCAGCCAACCATGGATCATGTAGCAGCTTTTACTATTGAAAAATACCTGCTGTAAGTGAGTCTGTGGGGTTCAAACCCGTGTTATACAAGGGTCAGCTGTACTCAAGAGTTTTAGGCTATACTCTAGTTTTAGGAAAAAAAGAAAAATCATTAGAATGCAGGCATACCAGTTTTTTAGTTTTAAAAATAGCAACAGCTCAGTATATGATTTTCAGATACCTCCTGGACTAAGTATACTTTGGGCTCCTGTTTCTTCTTTGTTTTTAGCGGTGACACTGAGTCTGAATCATTAAGAAAAATACTCTTTGTTATACTTAGGGAAGTGGATCTGTAATTTAGAGAGATTCTTAATAGGATTAAACCAAAAGAAGTTTCTGTTTTGTCTTTAATCAGAAACAGTCCCTGAAATTCCCTGAAAATACTACTTACTTTTTTTTTTGTTTTTGTTTTTATTTTGGTTTTTTTTTCCTAGGCAGAGGAGGTAATTAGATTTATTTTATTTTATTTTTTTTAAATAGAGGTACTGGGGATTGAACCTAGGACCTTGCACATGCTAAGCATGTACTCTACCACTGAGCTATACCCTCCCCTTGTCTTTCTTATTACTCTTCTGATCTCATCTTCTATCACTTTTTTCAGTTATTCTGCCCCATAGCACTGACTTTGTGTGTTTTTTTAATATAAAAAACTGCTAATCTCATTGTAGCCTCAGGGGCCTTGCGTTTGACTGTTCCCTTAGCCTGGAATATCCTCCCACATGTCCTCCCCCTGCCTCTTCCTCTTTCCACCTAATAGTGTCCACTCAGAGACACCTTTCCTCCCCTGGCCTAGTCAGAGTAACTGCCCACCTCCCCTGCCTTTTCTCCCTCTGTCTTCTTACCCTGTGGTAGTTTTCTTCCTAATATGTAACTCGTTGACAATGTTTTATGCATTTGTTTATTATTTCTCTCTCCCTGATAGAATGAAAGCTCTCTAACAGCAGGAACTTTGCCTTGTTCTCTAGGCCTCAGGGCGTAGAACAGTGCTTAGTAATAATAACCTCTTAGTGTAAGTGCACTGATTGAATGGACTTCCTGCCACTGTGATGTGATAACTTCAGGCTACTCAAAGAGTGTGAGTTGGTCGTGCCAACTGGCCTGCCAACAGTTCTGTCTTGGTTGGGTCACCGCTGTCTGCTAAGTTAAACATGGGAAGCAAGAATGGTTCCTGGCATGTAACTACATATTCAGTAAATAGGAGCTGCTGTTGTCTTTTATTATTGCCATTATTGTTAACAACTGGTAGCTAATTTTAATGTTGAGGAACAGATGAACAGTAACAGTGTTTTCCAGAGTGTTGAATGTAGACCATTCAGTGGTATGAAAGATAAAGATTTTAAATGACTCATGGGCAAATCTTTTTTTAACTTTTGATAATTATGTATTTTATTACATATTATAAAAATGTGTACCTCACCTATCAAACATGATTTTGTGGATATTGCTAACTTTCAATTTATAGTAGTGATATAAAATTTTCTTTTAAAATAAAATAATTTAGGGGAGGAGAGTATAGCTCAATGATAGAGTGCATGCTTAGCATGCACAAGGTCCTGGGTTCGATCCCTGGTACCTCCACTAAGAATAATAACTAAGTAAACCTAATTACCTCCCCCCACCAAATATAAATAAATAAAATAAAATGATTAAAGTTTGGAAAACAGTTCATTGAAATATTACATAAATAAAAGTACACTTGTTAGATAGGACAAAAATCTTTTAGGTGAATGAATTATGAATTATGTATAATCTGCAAAGTTAATGTCCTTGTGGATGTAGGGGACATTTTCTTACTGCTAAAGCAAAATATTCTGGTAAGAAACATCATTGGATTGTTGTATAACTTTCTGTTCTCAGGTTGGCTTTTTAAATATCCAAATTAGAATTGGTAAATAATCCTAATGATTGCTTTACAGTGTAAAAAGTATTTAGCACGCTGAGTGCCATATCACCCGAGTCTGGGTAACAGTTGTGTTTTCTCAGGGGCACCCAAGACACAGTGGGGGGGTCAACGTGTTAACAGATTTGATTACTCTCTTTAATCTTTGTTTTACTTAGTTTTTAAAAATAGGGGTTATAATGAATTTTTTTCTTTTTCAGTTGCACATGTATTATTCAATCATATAGACAAATCAGGATTGAATGATAATTCTGTTGAAGAACTCAAGAAAAGATATGGTGGTTGATTTCCATTTTTACTGAAATTATTGTCTTTGACTTCCATATGTTAAGTTTTTTTCTATGAAAATAGTGTTGTTTTGCTTTTTAAGAAAATGAAATCATATAGGAAAAGGACTGTCTTTGGATATAAGTTAACTGTAAAGTGAATTGTGATTTAACTAGTGAGAAATATACTTAAGTGAACTATTTATAAGTCCTTTTCTGAAAATAAAAATATAAATTATGAAGTATACTTGTAAAGATCAGTGTTTTATTCTGTAAGTCATTTTAAATGTTAAGTTTAGATACATTCTTTAATGCCCCATAAGTTACATTATTTTTATATTTTCATGAATTTTTATAACCATATTGATAAGGTTGCTTCATTAGCATACAAATAAAGTTATATTTGTATCACTGCTTTGGTTTCCTAATCTGTAGAATGGGTATACTAATTGTTTCTACCTCATGGGATGATTGTGAAGATAAAAGGAATGAGACATTTTTGTGTTTGGAACAGGGCCATATATAAGTACATATCAAGTTACTATTGTTATTATTATTACAATGATGACTTCCTATAATTTGTTGGAATAAAGTACAGTGTTTAGGAAATGTCACGTTGTTACCTTACTGCAAAATAACACAGTGGTAAATAGAGTAATTTTGGATCAAACGACCTGAGTATATATATATATCTGCTGTACTTAACTTGCTTGTGCCTCTGGACACATTGCTCAACTTCTGTAAACCTCAATTTCCTCTTACGTAAAATTAGAATTATATTAAATACCCACCTCAAAGGGTCTTGGAAAGGTTAAGTGTGCTAATTCATGTAAGCATTTAATACAGTGCCTGTTACATGGTTCTTGGTTATTTTATTAATAATAATAGTGATATAATTAACATAAAGTCACAAAAGCAGAACTTTTCCAAGTGATTTCTTTCTAGAAATCTAGTTCTTCACTGGTAATAGTATCTAACTTGATAGCAACATTTAAATCATAACTTTTTTTGCATTCTTGATAGAAACACCATACCTGCCATGTATTATTAGCTTCCTCCCTGTCCTTTTTTAATTTGCACTAAGTTCAGTAAATTGATAAGAGTATACCCAAGTTCTCACCATTTCATAATTTGTGCTAATGCACTTAAGATTTTACTCCCAGCCAGCAGATCTATTATCTGTGTTAACAGAAGGCATTTATGAACACAGTACCAAAGCTCAGTTTACCTTTTTACAATTCTTCCTTAATGTTTGATCTTTATCAGTGTTCTGTTTAAAGTAACATTAAAAATTTTGGTGTTAGTGAAAATTTTGTTTGATTCATTCATTGTTCAATATAACAAATATTTGTTGAGTGTACGTATAATGCCAGGCACTGGTAGGCACTGGAAATACCAACTATGATCAAAGTAAATGTGGATTCTGCCTTCATAAAGTCTAAAATGCACTGGGAGGTACAGATAAGCAGATGCAGTGTGATAAATGCTATGACAGGTAACACCAAGGGATCATGGGAAACAGCAGGTGCAAAATACAAGCTATGTTTTGAGAAACTACTTTGGAGCATGGAGTGAGCTGGACGGTGGTAAGAAACAAAGCTGGGGGAGAGAAAGCAGGGTCCGAATCATAGAGGAAGGACAGTAAGACTTTATCCTGAGGGTCCTGGGATCTAGTGATGGCTTATATAGAAGCCTGACCGTTAGGTTTGCATTTTATAAAGCTTACTTTGGACTCCTGTGGGAAGAACAGTTGCATGGGGACACTGGAATTAGGGAAATGAAGGCAAGAGATTATGGTATCCTGAAACAGAGTGCTAGCCATAAGGATGGAGAGAATTGACCAGAGTGGAGAAATACTCAGGAAGTAAACTAGGCAAGACTTGGCCACGGATTCAGGGTCACCACGTTCAGGGCTTACCACCAACGAGCACGCATCCACATTGTAGCCTATGTGAATGGCACCCCTGGAACATAAACTAGTGCTTCCTGATTTATGCAGCCTGCTGATCCTCTGGACTAGACATTGGAGGTGGTGGCCAAGTTGAAAAGCAGAAGAAAGTGTTAAGGACCATGCCCAGATTTATTCCCTTAGGGCAGTGGTTCCATTCGCTGAAACAGACCACAGCAGGTGATGCAAATGTGAAGGTAGAAAGTTTGTTGGGATGGGTGAGAGATGGAAAACCAATTTTGGATCTCTTGGATTCATGATCCATTGGGTCATCTAAGTAGATTTGGGCTGGTAATTTGAGTTTGAATTAGAAGCATTTTGATAGTAGAGCCTCAGGATTGGTTGAGATTACCTGAGATGTGTAGAAATAAGAGGAAAGGGTGACTAGGACAGAATCCTGAGTAACACCCATATTTTTAAGCGTTGCAAGTGAGAGTCCCTGGGGCTTAAGCCTTGTTAATTTATGGGTAAATCTGGCTCTTTTTTTTCAGTCCACACAACTGAACTGTATGGGTGTTTAGCAAGCATCTCTTCCTTTGCAACACCGGCAGTTTTGGATGCTCAATCCTTACATCTTAAGTATCAAATTTCCGATCAACTGAAAGCCTGTGCTTTTTTTTTCAGTTTTCAGTTTTATTAGGTAGAATTGTTACAATTTGACTGCACATATACAATACACTGCATGAAAATACACATACACAATATACTGCACATATAGCCTGTGCCTTTTTAGAGCTGCATCTGTCTGGTATTTATTTTCATTTTGTAGGTCAGGGTTACTGGAACTAGCCCTGAAGAGATTGTTCACTCTCTCTTGCCTGGTCCACCTCCTTCCCTGAGAGTGAGAGCTCAGCCTGGCCTCAGAACACACATCCTTCCATCTTTCCTGTCACTTTACATCCTAATATTCTCCATCTTCTGTGGCTCCTCCCTTGACTGTAAGCAAGACCAGATTTCCCTCTTAGAGGAATGATCCTTTGACCCTGCCACCGTCCTCTCTGTCTCTTACTTCTAGCAGTCATCTGTGGCTACATGGTGGTGAAGCCATTGATTTTTCCCTCAGTTCCCCATCTACCCCCAATAGCATTTGACCTGGTTGAATAGCTTGGAGACATTCTGCTCTCTTGGTTCCCTCTTTTTCTCCTTTTCATTTTTATGTCTTCCATGTCAAGTCCTTAGCCTTCACCTCTCCCCTAAGAGCTGGCTGCTCAGAGAGCTTCCACCACCAACTCCCGTGGTTCCTGTCCTTTTCCCCAAGTGCTAGTCTTTTTCCCCACCAGCCACTCAGTAGCCATAACTCCTTGGTGTGCTGTTGCTGACTAGAACCCAGCATTTTTTTTTTAATTGAGTTATAGTCAGTTTACAATGTTGTATCAGTTTCTGGTGTACAGCACAGTTTTTCAGTCATACATGAGTATTTACATATTCGTAGAATTCAGCATTTTAAAAGCTCGTCACCCTCACACTCCAGCAGCCCCATTCTCGCCACCTCTCATGACTTCTCTGTTCCAATGGGGCCATTGTTGGATTGGACACAAACTCAAACCTTAGCATTATTTTTGACCCCTATGTCTTTTTCCCTAACCCCTTTGCCCAAAAAGTCCAGTGAACTTTGCCCCTGCAGTGTCACACCTCATACCTGGAGGATGGCAGTGACCCCGAGGAGTCCCTGGCTATGGGATTTGATCCACCTGCACGCCTCCGCCAGCTGAGTCTGCCTTCCGTGTTGTCCTGTCACCCCTGCACATAACCTTCAGGACAGCTTGCTTCTAGTGGGGCAGGGATGGGCTTCTTTTGAACTAAATATTGGATCACACAGTTTGACAAAGGTCTTTGATCTATGGCTTTAATATTAAATTCAGGAACTGTATACCAGGCACTATGCTAGATGATAAAAAATTCAAAAATGAAAGCCACAGCCTCTGTCTTCAAGGATTTCAGAGCCTAGTCGGGGAAGCAGATGAGAATCATCAATTTCCCCTTGAAGCATGAGGATGGATAGCTTCACCTTAATTCAGCCCTAACATCAGCCCTAACATCAAGTCTAAGGCATTTAACAAGACGAGTGACATCTTTTACTTTTATATAGCAGGCCTTCTAATTTTAACCTTGTAGTGGCGAAGAGTCAGAATTCCTTACACCCCTGCTCTGAAGATGGCTGCCCTGTTTGAGCACCTCCAGTCTCTGGAAGCCTTCATTAGCTGATGCTTACTGCAGAGTTTAAAATTAAGGAAACAGCCCCTGGGTAGTTGTAGTTAATAAATCTTCATCTGCCATGTATGCCCCACTGGATGCAACTCTCATGGGGACTGTGGTTAACAGTGCAGCGGGCCAGCAGAGGACCTGGGCCTCTTTGTTCTCCTGGGCCCTTTCTATCCCAGGACCCAGGGCTGTGGGCAGCTTATCTAAGAAGACGACACTCCCTCAGTTTGTGTTGACTTCTCTGATCACAACCAGCCAGCTGGACACATGGGAGGTGGGAGACGGTCAATTTCCTCTTCTGGCTGATGGACTCAGTGCTGTGCTATTGCGGTGACTGGTGCCACGTTGACAGTGGGACCGAGAGTGATGAAAGGCTCAGTGGAGGGGTTTGATGGGCGATTCTGGAGCTAGAGATGTGGGGAGCAAACAGGGAAGGTTGTGTGGAGGAGATGGGGTCTGCACAGGCCTAGAGGGACAGGGGAGATCTGGGTGGGTGGAAGAGAGGTGACGACATTCTAATGGCCGTGAGTTGCAGACAGCAAAATGACAAGGTGGGAACTGGTGTGACAGCAGCTCCCTAATGGCACAGCAAAACCCAGTCCTGCTCACTCAGGAGAGGTTGCAGGAAGAACAGTAGTGGACTTGCCATTTGCTGTGTCTCCTGCAGGATTTTATATTTTATATAATGATACTGCAGCATTTAAACTTCATGTTTTTGAAATATCAGCTGGAGAGGTCAGAGAAAAAAAATCAAAGGAAACAGACCATCATGCAGCTGACATGGATAAAGCTAAATGTTTAGGCCTCATTAGAATCCTCTTGTTAAATATCTCTTTGGGGATTAGTGTAAATGGGGAAGGTATGTCTGAGTTCTAGCAATCTAGTTTAATTTACTTCTTACTGCTTGCTTTACTGACTGACATTTAAAACCGTCAGCTTGAACACATTGATGAAGACCTAAGGCTAATGTTGGGGGAAAATGTGCTTTCATTAAAACCAGGGCCATCCCTTGGGTAGTGTGGGGCAGATGAAATTGGGATAAAATGAGCAGATTAATAAAGGTTGGGGATAGAAATAAGAACTATTGAAGAGTATGTAAAAATGTCATCAATCAAATCATAAAAGCCTCAACTGCTCATAAGTTACTGAAACACATCAAACGCTCTTCCAACCCCTGTCTGGTTGTCTCTCACTAATGAGCCTTTGACTGCAGTTGCTTCCTGTCTCAGGATGGAGGCTGGTTTGCGGAGAGCAGGGCACAGAGCAGGCACTGGGTAAATGCGCCCCGAATGGAAGGCTGGTGGGGCTCCATTCACTGCTGCATATTGTCCACGAACACCAGGCAAAAATGATTCCAAATTAATTTGACTTTGCAAAAGGAGAATTTAAAAACAAACAGCCATTTGTGTAGCCAGAGTAGTGGGAACACATGAGGGTAGATGAGTCAGTCATTCCACTGATCGTGCGGCAGAATGGAATTTGCAGTACTGTTTAGACAAAATCTGGAATTTTGTCCCAAAGAATCAGGACTATAACAGAAGATAAGAGTTTTTATCACAACAATATGCTCTGTGTTGTATAGTTTTCTTCACACTCAGTTCTATTTGACCCTTGAAACGGTCCAGTGAGATATTTAGGGCAACTCAGGTTAAATTACTTGCCCAAAAGCATGCGAATAGGGATGTAACTCAGAAGTCAGTACTGGTTCCAGAAACCTCTATCAGGTCTCCTCTCATGGAGTCCAGTCGTGATGTAGACTTTACTGGGTCAACTTTTATGCCACAAACCATCGTGTGTGGATTCAATGGGAACCAGAATTCGTCTGCATATCAGCAGGATGTAAACACGCAATGTGTTTTCAAGAGACTGCTTTCCACAGCACATTACTTGGCTCATAAGAGGAAGTTTATAAATATGTGCTGAATAAATGAACAAATGAAACCAAGCACTACAGATTCAGATGAAGAACCCAGACGCAGAGCCTTTTAAGTTTGGCTCAAAACACTTGCCTGAACATTCAGGACCTTTTCATCCCCCACGGGGTTTATTGTAATTCTTTTACAGGATTGTGTTCAGAGAGCACCACTCTCCAAACATTTATTTTTTGAATACTAAATGAGTGTGGAAAGGGAATAGGAATTTTGTGTCTCATGAACTCTTTTATTGGTCATAACAGTTCAAACAGGCTTAGTGAAACCCTAGCTACCATTTGTACGCACTCTGTTGTGCGCTGGGTGCTATTCCAGGGCTTTGCATTTATCATCTCCCTTAATCCTAAAAACAGGCTCAGAGAGATAGGCTGTCTTGTGAAGCTGGGAGCCAAACAGAGGTTAGTGTGACTTAGACACTCATCCCCTTCTTTCTACGCTGCAGTCACTGCCGAGCGATCTTCCTGATGACACAAAGGCAGGACGGGGAGAGGCAGCCTGGCAGCTGGCGTTCTTTGGTGTTACTGCCACCCACCGGACTTTCAGAAAATAGCACGTGCATGGCAGAAAGCATACCTATGTGAATCGAAATGAAAAGGAATTTTATTTTTTTATTTTTAAATTTAATTTTTGTTTGTTGAGGTAATATTGGTTTATAACATAATGTAAGTTTCATGTGTACAACTTCTACTTTTATATACACTACAGTGTGCTCACCACCAAAACTTCAGTTTTTATCTGTCACTATACAGTTGATCCGTTTTACCCATTTTGCTCTGCCCCACCTTCCTTCCGCTCTGGTAACTACTACTCTGTTCTCTGTATCTAGGTATTTGTTTTTATTTGGTTTGGGTCATTCATTTATTTTTAAAATTTGTTTCTGTATTCCACATATGAGTGAAATCATAACTATTTGCCTTCCTCCACCTAACATAATTCATTTAGCCTAGTATCAGCAAAGTCCCTCCATGTTGTTGTAAATGGCAAGATTTCATCCTTTTTATGACTGAGTAATATTCTATTGTGTATATAAACCACATCTTCTTTATCCATTCATCCAAAAACCTAAGTGATGGGCATTTAGGTTGTTCCCATATCTTGGCTGTTATAAATTATGCTGCAATTAACACAGAGGGGTGCATTTATCTTTTTGAGTTAATGTTTTCATTTTTTTTTCAGATAAATATCCAGGAGGGGAATTACTGGATCATAGGGTAGTTCTATTTTTAATTTTTTGAGGAACCTCCATACTGTTCTCCATAGTGGCTGCAACAGTTTACATTCCCACCAACAGTGTCTGAGGGCTCCCTTTTCTCCACGTCCTCTCCAATACTTATTATTTCTTGCCTTTTTGATAACAGCCATTCTCATAAATGTGAGGTGATATCTCATTGTGGTTTTGATTTGCATTTCCTTAATAATTAGTGATGTTGAACATCTTTACAATAAAGGTAAATTTTGATGTTTTAGCAAGACATTGGCTTTTCAGAATCCATAGAAGTCTCCTTCCAGTGCGTCCAGCAGAGGTGATAGTATAATCTTTGATCGTGTTGTCCAATATGGAAACCTGGGAGGATGATATGGTGAAAGGAGGGAGTGTGGCCAAGATTGTTCTTTGGTCAGTCAACCAACAGACTGATCCTAGAGGCCTCCTCAGTGCTGTCACCGTGGTTGTTGGCTTGGGTAGTTGGTACACAGGAAAGGACATTTGTGTTTATTTGGGCCTTGTTATGAGCCATTGAATCCACTGATTTGACCTTAGTTGCCCGACATGCCTGGGAGTGTGTGGTCATGCAGGGAGGCTGTGAGGTCACTGGGACAGTGTCCAGAAAGGAGCACATCCTGAAGTCAGTGCCTGGCCATGACTGTCAGAAGGACCCCCTTCCTAGACCAAGCAGGGCTCCCTTTTCCAGTTTCACAAGGTCTTGCTAGGGATCTGCAGGGTGCATGTGAGGGAATTCTTCCTCCCCTCAGTAAGTTAGTGCATGGGACCTGCATCTAAAATAAATATCAGACTGGACTTTGAAGAGGAGAGGACGTCACAAAAATGCTGTCATTAAGAAGTGTGCAGAAATGTCTGTCTTTCCTTGGGACCGAAAGAGGGGAGGTGCATATTATATGCGTGCATGTGTTTGGCAGGAAATGTCTGAGTCTGTATCTGATACTCACCTGTTTTAACTACCACATTGAGACATACCTGTTTCTCTTCTACTTTCACTGCCTGCCAGTTTCCATCAACCGTAAATTGTTTTGATATTTACTTTATGGAGTCCATTTAAGTAATAAAATTTAGTGCTTTGCTATTTATTCTCCCTGGAATAATTGAATATGCGTGTTCTGTAACATCAGGGCAAAAACTATAATAATAATGACGTCAAGGCAGATCGTGAATTTTGGTAAAGAAGCTCTGTGGCAAAAGGCTGCCGAGGAAAATTTAATCAGTCATCCTAAGAAAGAAATGGAAAATTTTATTCAAGCCAAATTTGAGGATTATAACCTGGGAAGAGCATCTCAGAAAGCTCCGAGAACTGTTCCACCCCTTAGAAGTCCAGGCACAGTTATGTGAGTTCTTTGAGACAGAGGGCTGTACATTGGATGACGTATTATTGACAGTTCACACAGTCCAGATCTGAGCATCATCGTGTCCCCTTTCAAGGTCAAGAAGGAATGTTATCTTTTAAGAAGCTGTCTTGCTGATGCTAGGAGAATGTTGCTCTTCATGGTTGAGCAGGTATTTCTGCTGATGGGGGAGGTTTGGTCGATGTACAATGCAGATACACAGTGCATGACAGGGGGGAGAGACGAGGCCAAAGGCAGAGAAATTTTTTTATGTTTAAATGTTTCTTGTCTTGCCATGAAATATGAATTTTATTTCACAGGGCCAAGCTGAGACCAAGAACTTGTCCTAGTTGTATGGTCTTTAGTTTGATATCCCAAAGATTACATCATGTTCCATCTCTCTTTTTCACTCTTTGTGCCAAGTCCTTTGTGAGTGCTAAACATCCTCGAATTCTTTGTGCTTAGTTACTGCTCATTGGGCAGGTGGTGGTTTAGTAGGATGGCAAGAGGACCAAAGGAAAGCAGTCATCCGTTTATCCCCTTGCAATAAACAGAGACCACTGGCATGCCAGTCTTTTTCTCCTGCCCTGATTTAGTGCCAAGAGCCTACAGTCCAAGAGTCAGTGCAGTGTTGTCCCGAGAGTCTGGCAGGGGTGGAAGCTCTGCTGGGTTATAGACTTGATCTTGTCCTCGGCCCTGGCCCTGATGAAACAGCCGCCGAGGAGCGCCAGAGGGCCCCTGGCTGGATACATCTCCCCACTGGCTCA